TGTTCCCTACTCTGATTGAAATCGTAAGTAAAACTATTTTATTGGTTTATCGAAATCTGGTAATGAAATTAACCCACAAGGTGAACCGACGACATCATAAGAGTAGCAGGGAAGCGCTGGACGCAGGCCGCTACCATTCAATCAACATGGAAAGCATTGGGGTAGGCCTATGTTCAACAGTGGACGTCCTATGGCTGAAATGATGATGAATGAAATTAACTAAAATGTCTTTAGGTATTCAATTTTGACCAAGATATGGCAATTATAAAAAAAATTAATTAAAAAAACACTGCCACGTTTTTAGTCTTGCTCTCATCAAATGGTGATTCTTGGCGATAGAACGAGACGACATGACCGGCAAGGGGTAGTAACACTGTTGCCGATAGTACATAAACCTTATGGGGCTCTTTATATGTCTCCTTATCTTTTGAGCCCTAAAAGCACTTGAAGACAAACCTTGACAAGTGCCAGAAGTACATAAAGCCGAAACAAAGTCGGTCACCTAGACAGAACTGACCACGCATCCTTAGTCATTAATATAATATGTAATCTTGAATCTTGTAGTTGCCCTTAATGTGATTATTTGTAGGCAGACACTGAAAGCAAAAAATCCTTAATAAGTACCTGTTCTGAGCTGCCAATCTAACTACTTACACCCGGTATAAAATATTAATTCACCCTTTTTATACAGGATGGCATTCCAATCAAACTGCCAGGGGAAATCCCCAGTTTCAAAAACAACTACTGTCCAGAGGCAGCTACGGAGGTGATTGAAAAGTTTCTAGAGGTGTACTTCCCAATATTGGACTCGGTCGACGACAGGGAATTGATCAGGGAACTGTATCACGAGAGGGCGTGCATGACTATAACCACTCGGTATAAGCTGCGTAAGTATATTTTTACTTGATAATCCTATTGTCATTTGTTGAAGACTTACGCCCGTATTCACAAAACGCTTTTGACATGAGGTCTCACAGTGCGCGTGACACACGAACTAATCACAGAGCTCTATTCAACGCTGTGCGTTCGATTTGCAAGCAAGCATCGTTTGTGAATACGGGCATTATAATTTGTATTTTCACTAGTACAAAAAAAAGTTGAAAAGGAGCGGTGCGGGTTTCTTTTCTTCAAAACGTACTAACTGAGACAGCAGTGTACCTACCATGAGTTTACGTTAGGTGTGCTCGCTAGCGAGTACGTCAAAAATCTCTATGAAACATTTGTTTCTTGAAAGTAGCCGCTAGGGGCGCTGCACAATATGTCATACAATTAATGTCATATTTTTACGCAGTCGCTAGCGATCACACCTAACGTAAACTCATGGTAAGCACACAGATATACTTACTTCTGACATGCCATGACAGCTCTGTTACGATTACAACACATGTCGCCCCCACCCCGCATCGTTCCAGTACCGCAAAATGATGATGATGACCGCAAGAACCGACTAACTTAAAGGCTCATCGTTGGTTTGTTCTGGCCCGCAAAAAAGACAAACTCTTTACCTTTACACACACGACACTTGTGCTAAATACTCGGATTGTGTTTAGATACTATTTGAAAGTATTGTAAGAACCCTAAGACACGAGTATGCGCTATAACAAGGCTGCCTAACCCCATGCCCGCTGGCCATAATGTGGCCCGCGAAAGAATTTTAAGTGGCCCGCGCATGTAGGGATGTTTCCTGGGTAAAAAAGCAAGAGTTTTAATTAGTCCGTCAGTTAGCTTATCAAAAACTACTCGACACGTATTTTTCACTTTTTAAAACTAATGAAAATGTAAAGAGATAAAGCGTGTCAAAGTTGTAAAGAAAAGGCCCGTGACGTCAGTGAGTGCGTAAAAGTGCAGCACTTTGTGACGTCGCGCGGAACTTCAACGCACTATAACTTTGTTATTATTTGTTTGATTGACAATTAAAAATATACGTGTCCAATATTTCTTTATACTAAAATTGACGGACTAAAAAATTTTTTTTAGGAAACTAGCTTTGAGTTTTTATTGTGCTTGTCCTGAGAGTAACTGAAATAGGAAATGCAAGTGGGCCGTCTTTAACGACTGAATCCACCGTTTGGCCCGACTATTCAAAAGGTTGAGCAGCCTTGCGCTGTGATATCTAATTGACATCAAAAATTTTAAACTTTTACGTTGCATTTTTTATATTTCCCACCACAGGTTACAGTCCAGTGTTCCGCTCGTTCCGTACTTTGTTCCACCGAGCGCGGGTGCCCGACGAAGGCGCTTTCGACGCCGTGGAGGGTGCACGGGACATCGCCAAGCTGGCAGCCAAGTGGCCCGCGCTGGAACACGACCCGTTTACGTTCCGAGTCGACGTGCTCATGCATGATGTAAGTGTTTAGAATAATTTTGATTGACTAGAGATGCCACACTATCGATAGCTGACCTCGAATATCAGTTAGGATTATAATAAGTATTGGTAGTTAGCTCCTAGCGCGGCTTATTCCACTAATCCCCGTTGACAATCCCCGTCACTCGTTGGGAAAGAAAAAAGTATCAATAGCGTAACGACTATCGTGTCTGGATAGGTACTCCTGGAAAACTATTCCCACCGCTGCAACTCCTGTTACCAGGATCTATAGCTTGACCGCCATAAAAACCCAACCAGTGAAGGTCAATCAAGGTTTGTCCCGGGGGAAAGTTAAACTGTCATTGGACCCGCAACAAAACTAATCAGAAGAACATAGGAGGACTTCGAAGTTAAGGTTGGATTGATACTCCTGCAAGTTATCAATTATACCATATTTTATTACAGTTGAGTCAGACTCGGATGGTTAGGCCCTTTTCACACGTCCCGGTTGCCGGCTAACCGGCGCCGGGTACCCGGTCGTGAAGTGTATGGGCATGACGGATTAATTACGCCGGAACATGTGAAAGCTACGTACCATGCCCATACACTTCACTTCACCACCGGATACCCGGCGCCGGTTAGCCGGCAACCGGGACGTGTGAAAAGGGCCTTACTCTTGCATGAGGAATCCTCGTAGGTCAATTCAACTTCAACCGCTCATATCCTTCACTTTCAAAACAATCAGTCAACTTACATTTGTATTTCTTTTGCCCCCAGGACTTCGTCACAATATTCAAAATAGGCGGCTTAGTTCGCCTAACAGCAGAAACGTTGGCTGAAGATGAACACCTGCTGGCGTTCTCGCGAACGTTCGTGTTACATTCGTTCGACGGCGCCGAATACAAGATTGCGAACGAAATGGTTTATTGGGACGAACCGACTGATGAGTACGCGCATACTGCATTCCGGACTGCGGTGAGTACCAAAATTTTTACACCAACAAGAATCATCATCATTATTCACTAGGTACTGAACTGAACAGGCCTCTCCCAGATACGAATTTAAGGTGCAGTCCTGTTGTCCCCCCTGCTTGGCCCCCCTAGGGGAGCCAACAGGATTTCGAAATCCTGTTGTCCCCCCTGGCTAGGGGAGACAACAGGACTAGATTTTTAATCAATGATTTGAAGACTGTTGTCCCCCCTGGCAAAAATTATTTAAAAGCCATAAAATTTTATAACATTTAAGAAGGCCTGGAGTACCTGAATGAATGCCAAATTGCCAAACTGAATAACTAAACGTATGTCAAATAATAATTAACATTTGGATAACGAAAAAAATATAAGTTCTTGGTACCGGTACTATTTCAGACTATGTATTTCAAAATCTGCTTTACTTGCTTTTGACAGAATCGTTATGAATTATCCCTACTAAATAATATTATAAATGCGAAAGTACTAGTATTATATTATCTGTGGCGAAAGTAACTTTATCTTTTTTTATAAATAAATATAAACATATAGCGGACAAAGCCGTAGGCAAAAGCTAAGTACCTCTATTATGCTATTCTCATGTATAAAAAATATTATCTAGGTACTGTAAAGTTTATCAAGTGTAAGTAAAAATCCGTTTAGTAGTTTTTACGTGAAAGAGTATCAAACATCCATACTCACAAAGTTCCGCATTTACTTACAACATTAGTAGGTAGGATGCTAAAACTGATTAATATTATAAAGCTGAAGAGTTTGTTTGTTTACTTGAACGCGCTAATCTCAGGAACTATCGGTACGATTTGAAAAATTCTTTCAGTGTTAGATAGCCCATTTATTGAGGAAGGCTATAGGCTATATACTATCACGCTACGAGTAATAGGTGCAGAGCAAAAATGAAAAATGTTGCGAAAACGGATTTTCATGCATACGAAGTCGCGGGCACAGCTAGTTAATCATAATATTCAACAAATTACTTGCTCAGTGACAGTGATTCAACTAGCAGCCGCCCGCGATTTCGTTGTATTATTTTCAATCCTTTAATAAATAAATTCCGTTCTTAGTGGATGTCTACACCCTATAAGGAAACCTACCTGCCACAAGTTTGTAAGTGTTAGTACCGGCCGGCACCAATACCTATCAAAATTGTAATTATTACCTTGACAAACGTTTAGGTATTCGGCTTGGCAATTTGGCATTCAGTTAAATACTTCAGTTTTTCATAAATTATGCTATAAAAAATTATGGCTTTTAAATAATTTTTGCCAGGGGGGACAACAGTCCTCAAATCATTGATTAAAAATCTAGTCCTGTTGTCTCCCCTAGCCAGGGGGGACAACAGGATTTCGAAATCCTGTTGGCTCCCCTAGGGGGGCCAAGCAGGGGGGACAACAGGACTGCACCGAATTTAATCGAAAATAAGTCAGAATTAACTCAGTCCTATGATACGCGTGTGGTTTGGCCCACATACTTGACATAGACCTCCCACGAAGCTCACCACTGAGTCAGATTCTCTACTATTGGTTTTGCATCGCATTCTTATTTAGCTTAGAAATAGAAATGAGTGGAGTGTGACTGTCATTCTTGCTGAAGTTAATAAAAGACATTTTCATAAGAAAAAATATTTTTATTATGTATTGTTGAATTTAAAACGTGCAGTAGTATAAATGGCGTAATGAGCGTATCTACATATCACTCTTTCATTATTATTATTTAGTCACATTGCTTAATTAATTTGCAAAATTACTAAAGGGCTGATTCTATTTCTCCCAATACAGATCCATTACAAAACATACATTTTCTTTATTTAATGCATAAATTGCACCACACAAATTAATTAATACATATTTCAATGTAAACATACAAGGAACAACTTGGCACTATCGGTTTGAATTACATACTTAATGTAGTGAATGTGATAGTAATGAAAATTAATCTACTAATTCTGTATAAAACATAAGGTGAATGATTTTCACACTGTGTCCATGGACTCCTCATTTGTAGGCTCAGTCTCCATTTCCATATCTTTGTCATCCGCACCAGAGGCATACTTTAATCTCAATTTCTCATAATGCAGCTGTTCTTTGGATGATACGGATGGTTTGCACTTTGCAAGGGCTGCTCTGAAATCTTCGAAGACAACTAGTATATCGCCTTCGAGGTCCAAGGTGCCGTTTGAGATGTGAGTGGTCAAAGCATTTGATGCTGCCGCTTTTACTAGCCCAGCCAAGTCGGCGCCGGTGTAACCCTCAGTGAGGCCAGCTATCACTTGCATATCTACATCAGGTCCCAATATTGGTCTTGTGCCATTCTTGGTCAGCTTTTGAAGTATGTCGTACCTATCTTCTCGCGCAGGCATTCCGACGTACATTACACGGTCCAAACGACCGGGCCGCAAAACAGCCGGGTCAATAATGTCAGGCCTGTTTGAAGCTGCCAATACAAATACTCCTTCCCTGCCTTCAATGCCGTCCATTTCAGTTAGCAACTGATTTACCACTCTTGCTGCTCCGTTGTGGTCTTGGGAAGTACGCCTTGGACATAGGGCGTCAAACTCGTCGAAAAATATGACACACGGGGCTGAATTTCGAGCCCGCCTGAAACATGTGCGCACGGCTCTCTCACTCTCACCAACATACATGTTCAGTAACTCTGGACCTTTTACTGAGATAAAGTTTACTCCAGCTTCATTGGCCACTGCTTTGGCCAGCAGTGTTTTACCACAACCAGGTGGTCCACAAAGCAACACTCCACTTGCTGCTGCCAATCCAAGTTTCTTCAGTTGTTCCGGGTATTTTACTGGAGCTAAAACAGCTAACTGCAGATCTTTACGGACTTGGTTCAATGATCCAACATCCTCCCATGTGACATCAGGTACAGTAACAATACCTTCTCGAACTGAACAAGGTTTTGTGGTTTTCAAGGCATTCAAGAAGTCTTCTTGCCTAATAGACAGGCCTGAAAGTTTATCTGCTGAGTATGGTACTGCTTCTCCCAGAAGGGATAGTACTTCATCCACAGGGTCTAACGGTTTTGGTTTCTCAGTTTCAACATCATTGGTTTCTTCTTTAGGTAAATTATCATTACTAGATGTAGAGTTTTCTGTACTTTCAGGTTGGACATCTTGATCTTTCTGGGCAGCATCACCTGCCTCTTGTGCTACTTCATCAATCTCTTTTTCTCCATTTGAAATAACTTCACTGGATGTAACTGCTTCAATAGGTTTTGGTTTTTCAACAGCCTTTTTAGATGCTTCTTCAGCTGCACGAAAATCAGCAAAAATCCTCTTGACAGCGTATGTGCTAGCTTTATTAACTAGAGCTTGTAAATCAGCCCCAACAAAGCCTGGTGTTATTTGAGCAAGTATATTCATATCAATGTCATCACTCAAGACCAAATTCTTGCATAAAATTGATAGAATTTCTTTTCTAGCCTTCAAAGATGGGATACCTAATGCTATTTCTTGTTCTAGGCGACCTGCCCTTCTCAAAGCAGGGTCCAAAGCATCAGGGTTGTTTGTGGCGGCCAGTATGAGAACAGATTCATTGTTTTCACTCAAACTGTCTAAACTAGCTAATAGTTGAGCTACCATCCTCTTTTCCATATCCTTCTGTGCATGCACTCTGTTGCCACAGACTGCATCTATCTCATCAATGAATAATACACTTGGTGCAACTGATACTGCTCTTTCAAAGAGCTCTCTAATTCTCTCCTCTGATTCACCGGACATTCCACCTACCAATTCTGTACCAGTCACAGCTACTAGAGGCAACTGTAACTTGCCAGCGATTGCATGTGCTAACAAAGTTTTCCCTGTGCCAGGTGGGCCATGTAAAAGAGCACCTCTTGGAGCCTTAATCCCTAATTTAGTATATACTTCTGGATGCCGCATATGTAATATAAGATCACAGATCTGTGTAATAATGTCAGAAATACCACCAATATCTTCAAAACTAACCTTAACATGTTTGTTCGCTCCCACCTCAAACTTTTTCTTTGCTGCAACATTTTTGTTGGCATCCATTTTACGTTTTTTGTCTGTACTGTGTTGGTTTGGTTGAGATTTGGGGGCATTATCTACCCCTGTGTTGTTCGCGTTCTTCGTCGGAATGTGTGGGGTTATGGTAATTTGATCATTGATTTTTGGTAGTTTCGCCGCGACAGAACCGTCTTCGTCGCTGCTAATGATGTCGATAGGCTCGCCCGACTTCTCGTTGTTACGACGAGTAGTCGCTGAACGCTTCTTATCCTGCATTTTGTACATTGCGAGCAGGCGCTCGTTGAGAGCACTGTTGTTTTCATCTAACAACTCCAAATCTGACTCTTCCTCGCTCCCTTCCGAAGTTGACGCTCCGTCTAATCCGTAGCTTTGTAGAACTACCTTGTAGGCACTTTCTACCATCTGGCAAAAGGCACTATCGCTCCTGTTATTGTACTCGCGGTAGCGCTCTTTCAGAGAACGCGCCATTTGACTCACATCGACGAACGTTTTGTCCACGTTCTCCGCCAGGTAGTTTTTAACACGTGACACAATAACAGGATCATTCAAAGTTTTTTGTCGAGTTTGTTTCTTCATTTTGAGTTTGTGTAGCCTCAATTTAGGTTTAGATTACGAATTAATTTGATTGTCCACTCCGCAAATTGCAATGTTTGACAGCGGCGTCGGCAAATCGATGATAGATGAATGAGTGAATGAATGAACGACCGAGCGACAAGTGGTGTGGGCAAAATAAAAAAGAAAATTCTTTGTCTATGGTGTCACAGTCCGAATCACAGATATGGATATGTCACCGTAAAATTGTGAATTCCGTCAGATTATAATCTAACGTAGTTAAATTACAATCTAACCTAACCTAACCCACTGTTAGTTTACAATCTAACGCGTTATATTATAAACTGACAGAGTTCACAATATCACGTTGACAGATACACAGATATGGATAGATGCAGCATGTGTCAAAAATTGTATGAAGCCGAGCGTGCCANTGAAAATATTAGTTTTAAGATTTAGACTGATAGTATAGAAATTTACGCGGTCTTATCGCTATTTAGGGAGCCATCTCTTCCAGACAACCTAAACTCTGATTTTTAATTCGACGGAATTTTGACATTTCAGAAGTGCTGCCAACATTGAAACATTCCCACTAAGAATGGAGAGCATTTTCGCAAATTAAAAAATAATCCTTTCTTAAATTTAAGGTTTCACTTGAAAAACTAAGGCTTAAAAATGTACTGCTGATTTCAAAATGGTTATTTGAATTTTTATTATCATATTTTTGAAGTTACAAAAAAAATTGGGAAATTATTTTTCTACTACTGGACTCCCTGGCCAATAATCCATGGGTTACAAACCTTTTTTATGAAAATCCTTTTGTTAATAAAATCTTAGTTTCATAAAATAAGCAATTTAACAAGATGCCAATTTTATAATCCAAGTTGATTATGATGACGATAATGATGATTGATGATCAATACATATTTTCGTTTATGATAATATGTTGTTTTACTGTGTTAAAAATACTTTTTTTTCTATTTAATCTCTAAAATATACATAATAATTACTGTACATTGAATTCACAAAACAAACAATAGTTCATTCTTGTAAGTTGTACTTGATGAAATTTCGTTTCATATTATTTATTAATAATTCGAAGCAAAAAAGGCTTATTACATCTGAATTGTCAAAAAATGACAGCTGTCAGAATTCCGTCGAATTAAAAATCAGACTATAGGCAGGGAGAGGACATTTTGTTTGAATTAATAAATAAATAATCATATTAATGAGTAATATAACTATTATTTTCAGGTCAAACCAAAACGTTTAAGTTTAAAATTGGATACACCAGATGAAGACCTCAAGAAACAGTTGCTGGAAATATTCATGCGACTAACAGACACAGATAAATCAACAAGTGAAAAGTAAGATTTTAATTAATTTTTAATTCTAATAGCTATTATAATGGATGGTCAAACTTACACAAAACCGTTTTATTAATTTAATTTCAAGTTTACTTTTTAATTTTCAGATGCTTGGAACAAAAGGAGTGGAATTTAAAATCAGCTTTGGAGTATTTCATGAAATTACTGAAACTTGATGATTTAGAAAATTTGACAAAAGAAATTAAAGCATGATTTGGGATGAGACAATCCTATATTTTTACTTTTTAGGATGAAATAAAATAATTTAAGTATTACAAAATGATTCTTTTAATGTCCTTTTAGTCTCAGTGGATCAACGCGATAGCGAACACTTACAAATATTTGTATAGGAAGTAATTAATACAGAAAAGAAGTTAATTTTTGTGATATTTAATAATAAAAATTTGAACATAGATCTATTACACAATCATTTCGAGGTGTCTAGCATACTCTATTGTTTGCTCAGCGAGCTCAGATGATGGCAGAATACCGGCGGCTGCAGCACATGTCTCTTCGGCAGCATTGAAGTGGTAGCAGTTGTCAGCACCAAGTACCCAGTTACGCTGTAGGAATACACATAAATGTAGATTACAATGTCTATTTCCTACAATTAAAGATTAAATTATTTGCTTTAGTGATTTACAATGTACAATCATGACAAGAAAAGTACCAGCTTCATCATAAATGATGAGTCATAGGCTGAGTTGCACCACCTAACTTTGACCGTAACTATAACATTATCCGGTTTTTTTATATGAAGCTTGACAGATTTTTGACATTTGTTACTGTATAAGTAAGATGGTGCAACCCAGCCTTAGTATTGGATGGTCAGAGTTTTACTTGTTTTCCAGAATTACTATTATTATTCATAAACAAACATACAGATTTAAGTATTGCAATAGAATACAAACCTTCTGCCCATACTCATGGACCGCCTGCTGCGATGGCAGGTTCAACCTCCGAGCTGCTTCAGCGCAGGAGATACAAAGATAGGCCTTCTCAATGCAAGCGGCTATCTCTCCCCTCACTGTGTCTAAGAGGGTGTCCATGAAAAGGGTGTAACTTTCTGCTGGCACATTACCCTGCAAAAAATAGAAAGACATATTTTAGCTTATTACGCCAAGATGTATCAAAATATTGAAAACCTGCTTAGGTTTCATTTCAAGTATCAATGTCACTAAGTATGCACAATTAACAATGAAGTTAGTTTGAAAAACATGGTGAGAGCTATTTTTACTCAGCAATTACATTTTTAAGATCACATTTTTTTTACCTTGGCCAAAAATATCTTATTATAGCTGCCTTCCATTAGATATTGTTCCAAAGCTAAAGGATGCTTCACATATGGGTCTGCTCTAATAACATCTACTGGAAGACGCTCCAACTCCGTGTGGAACTCGGCCACTCGGTTTTGAGACAGCAAGAACAAGAGATTGAGACCAAGGAGTTGGTACATGAATGCTGACTCGGGTAGGTGATCTCTGAAAAAAGATTTGTAATAAATTAGACGGAAAACATATAATTTAACAACAGATGTGAGGTTAAAACAAAAACTTATGAAAATACATTGGACATGGACCTATAAAAAAAGTCGGACGGAGTCTCATCAACAAAATACTGTGATATTAGGATACACCAGCTTGCCTGTACGTACAGGCCGGCACGCACACATTCACACCCTGTTACACCACTTCGAGAGCAAACTTCACACAGTTGACACATTTAAGCAGCGAAAAAACAACACGAATAGGACATGTCTTGTGTGATGAAATTGTGTAAAAACCGTTCTGTTCGAACAAACAAAAATTAAGGAATCACATTTCACAGGTAAAATAATAATCCAATCACTTATTTCCCGACATTAAAATATTGAAATTAATTGAAATCAAACGTCATTCACTCGAAAAAATAATACGTCAAAGACCAGTGTTCTCAGTTATTTACGTGGGAAAATTACCCGAAATATGGGAAATTAATAATGATTTTAGGACTTTTTATTTATGTATTACGCATACTATGGAAATAAAATAATTTATCATAATTATTGTGTTTTAATGGGATATATTTTCATAGGCAAATTTGATCCTTCCCAAAAATGTGGAACTGCGAAATTCAAATTTTCTTACATTGATTGCAAGTCAGTGTCAGGTTGTATGTTAAAAAAAATCTATCAGAGATAATAATAATATATTGATGATGCATAAGATTATGATTATAATGTACACAAGATTCGTAATTTGTAACTGCGTGAATTATTTTTGATCAACATTATGTACATACCCTGACACACTGACTTGCAAACAATGTAAGAAAATTTTAACATTGAAAATTTCGCGCCTACCTCAACGCATACACCTTTCATCCTTTTAAAATGGCACGGAATAATTCTGTCTACATTTCCAAGTAACATCTGCCGATCTATGTTTTTCTTAAAATAAATGGGTAAAATGTTTTGGCTAACATGGCATCCCTAAATTCACTCACACAATAGACAAACGCCAAAATTTTGCGTCACAGTTTTGTTGTAGCGCGAGTTCCGTCCGCCTTTTTTTATAGGTCCATGACATTGGATACTCGAATTATAGCGTAAATAGTAGTTCATACTCACTTGTAATCGAAATAATAGCATTTTAATTGAGACATAAAACGTTCGAACGCTTTAACATCTTTTACTGCAACAGCCCATTGAGCTCCAATTTCTAGGACATCCCGAGCCAAAATCAACTCCTTTTGATTAGCTGCAGTATTATTACTCGGCAAGAAGGTTAATTGCGTCAACGCCACCTAAAAATATCACCATTTTAATACAAATTACAACAAATCATGATAAAAGTTGCACAGTCATGTCGGACTTACCTTTATTTTGTTCAACAGTTCGCCGCATTTATCGAGTTTACGGGGTTTCTTTCCCCATTCAGTTTTTAAACTTTGATACAGAGAAGCAACGTCTTTAACTGAAGCCATGATTACTTAGTTAATTATTCTTATTTTCTTGAGAAAAATGAAATAAATTCGCCTGCCTCGATTCAATTTCACACAGAATTTGACATAACTTTGTTGTCAAAAGTACGTTCTGAAATGTAACAAACGTTACGTCCGTCCGACAGCTTTTATTTATTTACCTATTGCACATATTTATTCTAAGAAAACACATACAAAATAATTATTATACTTTGTTTATAATTAATGTTTATATATAATTCATCTGGGAAAAAGTTAACATTGTAAAATAGATCCAATGAAATCTGAGTAAAACTTTTATAATACGTTTTTGAACGTATCAAATGAATGATGAAGAATGAACGAACGACTGTTGTTTGTAGATCATAGACTAGTAGGGATTTTTTTTATGTTCATTGTTCTAAAAATAGGATTTTTTATTTTTGCCTGCCAATGTTTTATTGCGTGGATGGATGATGATTAATGCCCATATTTTTACGATTAAAGCTACTTTTCCAAGTTTCATTTAAAAACAAATTGATTTGCTCGGTAAATTGATTTTAAAAATTCGTACAGCTGCACATACTGCGCAAAAAAATTAACCCTTTTGCTGCGGTGCCGCGGTGGGCGTGTTAACTCGTTTTTAATTTGCTTCGACGATTCTCGTTTCTCGTTTGTCGCACAAATCTATCTTTATTACGTAATGCCTGTGTATCACTTTCGACAATCCAAGCCATACTTATCATAAGAATATCTAGATTGGTGTTGCTTTGCTTAAGCAAGCCTCAGTCTGGTTTTATTGTCACGCGGACCGTCCGGTGCGCACCCGCTCCGCACCAATCTCCGCACGGCCAATCTGTTTGAACTTCTTGGGAGCGTACTCAGATCAGCTGTGCGGAGCGATCCGCACTGACAGTCCGCGTGACACTAAACCAGCATAAAGGCGATGTCTGTAATATTTAAAAAAGTTTGCACACCGAACGTATGTGGGTGGAATACGGGTGTAGTACGTCGACTTAGGTAGCTAGGAGTACAAAACAAGACTGTTTATTAGACGATTAAACTTCAGTCTTACGATAAATACTAAAAAATTTTCGAACGAGTTAGCCGTAGCCATAGCCATAGCCATAGCCATAGCCATAGCCATAGCCATAGCCATAGCCATAGTCATGGTCATAGTCAGAGACTCTGACTCAGAGTACCTACTGAAAGAGTGTACCTACGAAAGAAGGGGGTCGCATTCCAGCCAGGTGCGGTTGTACGTACTGTACTGCACAGATGAGAGTATAGCGTGGCTTAGGCAGGCCTTATCTATATCAAAATTTGATAGGGGCCCCTTAAAAAACATCACATTTTGTATTCCTTCTCTGTCTATTCGAAAAAGAAGCCCTGTGTTCCGAGCCCCCGCACTGTGGGCGAAAAATCGACCTCCCCTTTCATAGGATTTTGAAAAAAATAAGTGTTGCTTTTGGCTCTTTAAAGTATGCAGGTCTATTGAACACATCAAAACATTAAATAATATAGTATTCACGGGCCTTGTCTCCTCGTTTACACCTCATAATGTGAAATTGTATGTTTCAAATGTATGAAAATGAAAATAAAATACCTCATAACTTTTTTCGGTCTTGCTCGGTCAGGCTGAAACTTTCAGGTATTGTTACCGAGTCTGTAACGAAGCTGCACGATCTTTCACTTTGATCCCAAACGGTCCCGATTAGAAGTTATGAATTTAATAATAATATGAATATTTATATGATATTCCTGTGAAATTCTGTGTAGATAATGTATTACTAAGGTACTACGGAAAGAGAAATATTATGTACAGGGAGCTCATTTGAACAACAAATTACCAAATCATTTTTTAACCGACTTCAAAAAAGGAGGAGGTTGTATGTTTGGCTGTATGTACTTTTTTTCTATGTATGTTCACTGATTACTCAGTCAATTGTGGACCGATTTTCAAAACCCTTTTTTTGTTAGATAGCGTACACTTCTGAGGTGGTCCCATTGCCACCAAGTCAGGGTCTGATGATGGGATCCTAGGGAAATCGAGGGCACACCTCAAATTTTATAGCCACGTATTTCTTTTTTCATATTTATTCTGAAGTTATTCAAGTATTATGCGTCTGGTAGTCGTCATCTAATGTTGATGAGGTGATGATGGAAGGTCAAACTCCTTAACGGTTAGGAGTTGGAGAATAAATCTTTAAATATTTTAGGTACGTATGTACAATACAGTTGTATTTTTCAGGTTTTTAGGTGAGCTGATGATGAAAGGTCAAACTTCGTAAGTTATGAGCTAGATGATAATGATGTTCTCCAAAAAATGTGCACTAAAAAGTAGAAAATAATAACATTATTTATTTATTTATTTATTGGGACAAAGTAAACCATGATAGATATTTTTTGGAGTCGGTGCCGGTAAATTTAGAACATTTCTTGAGTTTGGCACTGAGCAGACAGGCACCGACTCCGAGAATTTCAATCATGGTATACATTTGTCCAAATAAATAAATAAGTTATGTAGTTATTTTCTACATTTTAATGCAGATTTTTTGGAGTCGGTTTTAATTTTTTTGTTAAAATTTATTTATTTCATGCTTCTAAGTTGATAAGTCCTTGTTACTGTCACTGAAGATGGACAGTACCTATGTTTAATGAGATTGAGACTATAGTTTTCCATTTTGAGTGTAAATAATCTTCCCTACAAAATACAGGCTACCTACTGTAAATGTCGGCAACTAAAAAGTATGTATCATCTAACTCATAACTTACGAAGTTTGACCTTTCATCATCAGCTCACCTAAAAAACCTGAAAAATACAACTGTATTGTACGTACCTAAAATATTTAAAGAATTATTCTCCAACTCCTAACCGTTAAGGAGTTTGACCTTCCATCATCACCTCATCAACATTAGATGACGACTACCATACGCATAATACTTGAATAACTTCAGAATAAATATGAAAAAAGAAATACGTGCCTATAAAATTTGAGGTTTGCCCTCGATTTCCCTAGGATCCCATCATCAGACCCTGACTTGGTGGCAATGGGACCACCTCAGAAGTGTACGCTATCTAACAAAAAAAGGATTTTGAAAATCGGTCCACAATTGACGGAGTAATCAGTGAACATACATAGAAAAAAAGTACCTACATACAGCCAAACATACAACCTCCTCCTTTTTTGAAGTCGGTTAAAAAATGATTTGGTAATTTGTTGTTCAAATGAGCTCCCTGTACATAATATTTCTCTTTCCGTAGTACCTTAGTAATACATTATCTACACAGAATTTCACAGGAATGTCATATAAATATTCATATTATTATTAAATTCATAACTTCTAATCGGGACCGTTTGGGATCAAAGTAAAAGATCGTGCAGCTTCGTTACAGACTCGGTAACAATACCTGAAAGTTTCAGCCTGACCGAGCAAGACCGAAAAAAGTTATGAGGTATTTTATTTTCATTTTCATACATTTGAAACATACAATTTCACATTATGAGGTGTAAACGACGAGACAAGGCCCGTGAATACTATATTATTTAATGTTTTGACGTGTTTAACATATCTGCATACTTTAAAGTGCCAAAAGTAACACTTATTTTTTTCAAAATCCTATGAAAGGGGAGGTCGATTTTTCGCCCACTGTGCCCCGTAACATTGATACGAAAGATCGCGGGAAGACCTGGACCGTTCATTGTGGAAAACCTTGGGGGAGGCCTTTGTCCAGCAGCCAGCAGTGAACGTCATTTGGCTGAAACGAACGACGCGAACGAACAAACTCTCATTCTTCTTATACTACACTCTTGCCGCTGGGAAAGGGTTAACAATGAAAATGAAATCTATCTCACAGATTACAATTTCTCCAAGGGCAACATCACACCAGACCACAGTATTTTTTGGCAACATTGAAAATCGGCTGTCAAAATGCCAAAATTTTCTTGAAAGATTTTCTCGGTTTCGTTTTGTTGTGCCGAGAAAAATGGTTTTTCGTGAAGTTACTACGTTTCATCTATGTCATGACTGACCTCTTTCACCTCAGGAAAAATAAAATGTGATATGTTTAAAATGAGTTCTACATCGGCGGTGGTTTGCCGTGAAGTTTTCGATGAAAATAGCCAACCCTCTGCAGAAGGTAAAGAATTCGATAATTTAATGAATTCTTTTATGAAAACTACTTCAAATAGGTATCTTTCTATAGTTGATTTAACGTATTAATTGTGGCAAAGCTTTTACTTTTTAATTGCCTTTGTATTTTGTACTATGGTCAAATTTATAACATGTATGTTTAGTTCTTTTTGTAATGGAGCTTTTTCACATATTATTTATTGAACTCTTGTGTTTAAATTAAAGTATTGCCTATTCCGTCATTCTGAGCTATTATGTCATACAGTGTTTCTAAGGATGGGTCAAAATGTATCAGGAAAAACTTAATATTGAAGATAGTATGCTAATGGTAATGAATTTATTGTTTTTGGTCTAAACAAATTATAATGGTCAGTAAAAAGGTTAAAAGTTGTATACATGTTTAACATTTACAATTTAAAATGGTTGTAAATTGGTAATACTTACAAATTCTGTCAATTTATTATCAAAATGTTACATTAACATACAGTTAATGTCACTCAACTTATTTATTATCAGGATTCATTTATTACCCGACTGCACCAAAAGGAGGGTTATGTTTTTACATTCAAACTTAATCTTGTTATAAATCAATGTAAAAACTCAAGAAATGGATTTGGTTGACTGGCTATTGTCAGTGTAAGTTTTAAAATTGTTTCAGAAATCTCCGAGTATGCTCAGCAGCTGGGCATCGACCCTGAGAGTGAGAGCCACCTCCTGCCGCTGGCTCGAGATGGCCTCATGCAAGCGTTGCCTCCACCTTGGAAGGCTTAGTAAGTTTAACACCATTATTATAAGTTAAATGTTACCTTTTGGACTATTTTTGTTAATGAAAATTCTGATTGTTACTTTCACTGGATTAAAAGATGCAAAGCAGTATTCTAATGGTGTTATGTCACTTCAGAATGATTGTTTTTTTGAAAAATGTATTCAATTAACACTACTGAGTTTCTTGAGTTGTTTCTGAGTTAATGGGTTTACTATTAAAATGAGCTTTCGCTGTAAAGTAAAAAATACTGACATGAAAAATGAGTAACTTATGGTTGAATGAAGATATTCCCTTTGTTCAATTTATGTATTTACTAGCTTTCCGCCCGCGGCTTCGCCCGCGTGGAATTTTGTCTGTCACAGAAAAACTTTATCGCGCGCGTCCCTGTTTCAAAAACCGGGATAAAAACTATCCTATGTTCTTTCCCGGGACTCAAACTATCTCTATGCCAAATTTCATCAAAATCGGTTGCGAGGTTTAAGCGGGAAAGCGTAACAGACAGACAGACAGACAGACAGACTGAGTTACTTTCGCATTTATAATATTAGTTGGGATTGCTGATTTTCATGACTTTCCTATATTCTCACAAAACATCTAAAACATTTGAACACTCCTGCTGATATAAAGATCTAAATTCATTCTTATTGTAGCTTTGATGAGAAACTTCAAACACATTACTACTACAACGAAGAGACGAAGAAAACCCAGTGGGATCATCCGTTAGACAACATTTATAGGGAGCTCGTGAAACGGGCCAGAGATGCGTCGATGCAAGATGACACCTGTGCTTCAGTGCAGGTGAGAAATTAGCTGCCTAACTATGTAACTGGTATTAGAAATGTAGAGCAATTAAATATTATTTTAACTTCAAGTAATAAAACAGTCTATCTTGAGTTTGACTGTAGAAAACTGTATTTGACAATAACTAAGACCTGTATTTATTTATTTAAAATCTTTATTGCACACATAAAAATACAGTGGTACAACAGGCGAGCTTAATGCCATGTGGCATTCTCTTCCAGCTAACCAGAAAATTAAACAAAACAGAGAATTTAAGTAGGCGGTGCAAAATAGTACAAATACAATAAAATAAAATCTAATACAATACACTACTGTAATGTAATACCTACCTATTTTGAGCTGTTTAGTGAATAACCTAAGTTGTTTATTTATAGCGTCTGTATTAGAGGAAGGCGCTAATGACTGCTACACAGTCTGACTACTGCAGTCATTAACGTTTCATTTTGTCTATGCAAAATTGTAATTGGCTACAAATAAAGTTTATTTATTTATTTATTTGTAATGGAAGTAGGTTTTTTTTATACCATTATTATGTTTCGAATTGATTTAATGGATCCGATTTAATTATGTGTAATCATCAAGGCCATTAATGTCTTTTCTTCTAAAATTAGTCCTCTACTTTAATTCTAGTTATAGTTTCTAGTTTAATTTGTCTTCTAGGAACTTCTCACATCAGAAGAAAATACAAAAAACCTGGAGCGCGTCGAAACGAAAGTTGAAAGCGACGATGACGAACTCACAACCGACAGCGAAAACCAGACGGACGTTAAAGACAACGCATCCGCGACCTTAACATCTGGGCTTAAGCGCTTAAATCCTTTGGGTCGACCGCCGCTTGCGCCTTTAGCAAGACTAGATAAGAAGCTGGGTGATTTGCGGATCTCGCCCCTAAGGCGTAGCATGGACAGTCCATTATCGGCCAAGCCGAATCTCGTGAGGAATACTTCTGATAGGGATCTCCTGAGTCGACAGCCGTTTGAGAGGCCGAAGCAACTCTTCAAGCAGCAGTCGGAGATCATAGACTTGAAGATGCATGTGTTGACAAGCCCTGAGGAAGAAAACTTCAGCCCTCTGCTTTCGTCTGCTAAGATTGACAAGGGATTACCATTGACAGGTAAGAATGGGACCTACTTACGTATTCATGTCAACTATTGATGTAAGAGGCAAAAACACGATTAATTTATTCAAATACACTTTTCTATCTGTCTCTTTGAGTGATGGCAAATATAATATTTTAAGAAATAAAATACAATTAACATATTATTTCATCCTTCGATTATGCAGCCCTTCCAACTCAGATGTTTAAGCCTAGCGATCCAACGCGGAAACGCTGCCAGCCTTTTGGGCACCGCTAACCTCACCGACAGATCTGGGGATAGGGATACTTTTTTAATTTAACTTTTATTTTCCTTTTTTGTAAATATTGTATTTTTTTTTGTATATAGTATAGTTTTTAAGTTTGTAAATTACCTGTACAAATTTAGTTTGTTATTGTTTAATAAAGCGAAAGTTACAGTGCCATAATACCAAAAAAAAAAAGAATACATAAAGGAGAATAAATAAAGGAAATAAACCTCTGTCCTTCAGATCTTTTAGTTACAATTTAAAAAAATTCCAGTTGGAAAATTTCTAATGAAGCAAATGCCTTGTCATTTTTAACAATCCACAACAGTAGGTATGGTAATTATTTTATTATTTCAAACCAAAACATAACTTTTTTAGGCAAAGGCAGCATGTTCCTCAAACTGTCCAAGTCGGATTTCCCCAGTCCCGACACTGAGAAGTCGCTGCCCCTAGATTCGGTCACCAAGAGCGACCCGCCCAAAGGGATCCTTCGCGAGAAGATATCAGACACGTTTCAGAGAAAAGCCGATAGTGTTGCCATTGGGAAGAAACAGGCGTCTAGCTTTGAAGAAGACAGGAAGAGTGTTAGGTAAGTCTTTTTGTACAAAGTAATTTATGTAATGAAAAGCCTGCAATTTCAGTCATGAGTAGAATCAAATGCACAACATTTAGGGCCGGACCGTGAGTTTAGGGGGCCTTGGTAATAAGTATATTTAGGGTCCTACCTATACTCTTTCGTTTTATCGTCTATTTTTGACTTGACTTAGCTGGGGGCTCCTTGAATCCACGGGGCCCTGGACGGAAGCCCCAAAAAGCCGGTAGATCCGGCCCTGACAATATTTACCAATAGTAAAATTTAGGCTGATAGTTACTCTTTAAAGAAGTCAATATTAAAAACATTGTGTCAATGTAATCTTTTATTCTATAATGTAAATAAATAAATAAAACTAAAATCTACTTTTTATTAAAAAATAAATAATGAATAATGTTGAATAGTTAAAATTAATTTCATTACAATTTATTAAAAATGTCTTTATAACACTTACTTTCAGATTCAAACTGGAGAACCTTCCAGATCCTACCATCAGTCCGGGCTCGAATAGCTCTTCAGAACAGAACGATGGCCAGAGCTCTATTATTAGCGCGGCCCCCGCTGTGTTATCCCCCATTATCCCCTCGTCGCCCCTCATTCCCCCTGTTATCCCCCCTATCGCCCCAGTTAACCCCTCGATAGTGCTGTCTCCTTTGGTAGCCAGACCGCCTCTGCCGCCGAGGCCGATGGCAGGGGAAAGTCCGAGGGAGGTTAGGAGTGCTTCTATATCCGAGAAGGAGTCGATTGGTGAGTAGAACTGTTCCTATTTTGTATTATTTTTCATACCTACATATTTTAGAGGCAAGATTCGAAGTTGTAGCACTTTTAACCTAATTTAAATTAAATTTCCCTGCTATAGATATTAAGCAAATAAAAAAACTGAAAGTAATAATATTTTCTTTCGGAAAATCGGCTCGATTAATTTTTCAATATAATATTGTCCATACCAAACTGGGTACACTAATTTTGGTTTTTGTATGTCCCGTCTGGGAATCGAATCTAGGATTTCAGGATCAAGTGCTAACTTTTTCGTAGAACTTCTAACTTCGACCCTTTCAGGCTGTGCTGTCTTTTAATGAATGCAAAAGACAGCACACGATTTCTTTCAGGACTCAATTAAAAGGACTTGCACTCACTTATAACTTACAGTGCTTAACAACAGATCGTATAAGGCCTTTGCCACACTTGATAGATATGTCGTCTCAGATCTTCGGCCAATACAATGAATTGCTTATAAATACGGGCACACTACGCGGTTGATCGGTCGCTATTTACAGGCAATAACTTGCTTTGCGGAAGATCCTCGACGGCATTTCTGTCAAGTGTGGCAATGGGTTAAAATCGTTATTTTCTACACAGACAGCGACAGTCGCGAAAGCCGAGGCACGTCGCCCAGAAGGCGAGTTCTCCGTCCTCCAGCAGGCGATTACATCAAACCGGACTTATTCCAGAAGAACTTCCAGAAGATATCCGACCTAGTCCGCCCGGGGGACATCGAGACCTCCTCGGTCAATCTGGAAGAACCGTCTTTGGAGAAGGAAGCCAGGCCGAGGTAAGTTTTATAATGAAACAGCCTGTGTATTCACATTTATTCAGAAACTTATGCAAATACCAAATCAAAACAATTGGTAAGAAAAAACTTGTGAAAAAATCTAAAAAATTTCACTCACTCTGTCACTTGACAACTTATTCCTTACTGATATTCCATACATACTATAGTCTGGTCTGTGAGCACGTAGAATTTTGTCCAATGACCCCAAGCTACCCATCCTTATCGCTCGCGCGTAATTATGTTGCTATCGCGCTCGCACACTCTACGTGCTCACAGACCGGGCTTTAGTTAGTATGGGCGCGAGTCATTTAATGTAGCTAAACACAGTGGGCGTACAAAAAAAGTTAAATACATGTTGAACATTGCTTTAAAATTACATTTCCATACTACATGACAATTTAAACAACTGTTCAACGGGCGTTTAACTTATTGTACTAAGCCCCAGTATATTTCTGACATTTCCTTCAACAATTACGCGCGGCAAATTATAAAGTATTCTGATTTTCAGGTCACCAATGATCCCCCAAAAGAGCAAAATATCCATCAACCTAATGGAGAGCATAGAATCGGAAACCTCAATAGATTCACCCGACCGAGAGTTCGCGAATCTAGACCTGAACGACCTGGACGATTCGAACGACATTCCAGAAAAAGAAGCAAACGAAAGCATTCCAGACAAAGACTCAGAAAAAGAAAGCCCCAAAGAGGTTGAAGTCACAGAAAACTCAGAAAAGACTTCGTCACATTCCAAAGCGTCTACAAACAAATCGCGTACCATCGACAGTGTTCCGATACCTCAAATCAAAGTTCCTAACTTAGAATTTATTTCGAAGCAAAATAAACTACTGCATTCCGACTCGGATGATTCGAAAAAGTCTAACAACGAAGAAAGTAAAACTAGATCGGTTAGCGTAGAGGTCCACAAAGCGCCGCAATTGAAAGTTTCTCCAACGCCTAGCTTTGGTTCTGACATGAGATCTCCTAGAGAATTCAATAAGCCTTGGAGTCCCCTATCGACCTTCAAGCCTTTGAACAAAGCGGTAATAGCTCCTCAAATTAAGACCTCAGAATCTGCTTCGAGTCTTGGTAAAAACCTTGCCAGTCCTCGATTGGATGGGGTTATATTATCTCAAGGAAAATCCAACGATAATGTGGTAGTAGTGTACCAGTTTGAGACTCAAGAGGATTCCGTTCCGAAGATCATAAAGTCGCCCATGATTCCTGATATGGGGACCAGGGATATGATTGAGAGAACGAAGGGAGACGAAAGAAGAAGGCTGGAGTTTTCTTTGCAGAAAGAGTTAGAGAATATGAGGCTGGAATGGACTACTAGGGAGAGACGAATGCGAGCGGAGTTGCAGGAAGAATTTAAAGACGCTGAAGAGAGGTTTTTGACTGAAAAGAGAGTGCGGTTGGCGGAGCAGATTGAAAGGCATAAAAGGGAAATTGAAGAGGTAAGTTAATGATTAACATTCTAATTATTGGTAGTGGAACATCCTTAGTTCGATTACTGGAATAACCATAAAAAAAATCAAAACTGGGTTTAGACTGTAAATACAGACTGGACTTTATTTTGAATGTGGATGATTCATGAATGTTTGGTAAACTTCTTAGAACGAATCATGCAAAGTTAGAGAAGCTAAAGCTTATGAACTTGATATTACATGTACAGTCACGGAATGAAAAGGTTCGTCAGTTTTCAAATTGATTCCTTCAACGAATCGCGAGCACATATTACCTTTTGAAACTATGTTACAGAATAATCTCGAGTTATAGAAAATAATCTTTAACTGTTGCTTGGTAAAGTTCAAAATTAGTCAGATCGAAGTTGTTTGACGATTTATCTTGTCAAGAAGATTATTATGATTGATAAACTAAAACCTTCTTGTTGGTTCAACCTGCCATTATCATTTCTATAAAAAAAAAAACTACATTTTGTAACATTGCACTGATGGGATAGAAAAATAAACAAGCAAAACCTTATTCGTTAGCAAACGTCATATTTATTTAAATGTTAGCAGCACTGTGTCTTGCACTGTAATGTTGGCAGGTTTGACTCTTACAGTGCAAGCGAAAACCGACACTAAGGTGACGAACCTTTTCATTCCGCGACTGTACTTTTATAAAAAGGGAAACCTTTCATTGGCTATAGGTATTAGTTTAAATCTTATAACTAACATTTTCAATGTATCGCTGTTGGTTTCTATTAAATAAATAAATATTTATTAGAATAGTTAAGATTTCTTAAATCTTTGACAAAAATTTTTTTTCATCAATTTGCCTACTACTATGTGTCTTCTAGCATATCTAATTATTGTTATACACAAACCTATCCACACAAAATTTTTATTCATCAATCTTCTTTCCAAAAGGCGTTGCAAACAGCAGAACACAACCACCAATTAGCCCTGCAGAACTCCCTCAAACAACTGGAGGAACAATTCAACCTCGATAAGGAAACTGCAGCGCGGCAGTATGAGGAACGAATGGATAAACTTAAAGAGGAGTATAATGCTAAGCTGTTGCAGAGGAAAGAGCAACTGGAGATCGGTGAGTTTGATATTTGATAGTTGTGCAGTGATTTTGTCTTATACAGTTTTAAATGAATGCTATAATGTTTTCTTGAAGAATGTAAAAAAGTCTTATGATAATCCTAAACAGATATCGTCATTCAAATGAGTATTTTACTGTTCCTTAACTACGTGGCTCTTTGCTCCCTTTTATATAAAAACTTCCAAATGTTTGCTTCTCTAATGTGAATTACATAGGCTAAATATTGCTCAGTTTGTGGTGGACATCTGGGGGCACGGCAGTGCCCCCACCAAGTCGAGCAAAAAAGCGGCACGGCCGTACCATCCTTTTCTCGAAGCAATTCAGGCCATTTTCGACCGCCTGTAACTTCGTTGTGGATAAAACTAGAAGGCTGAATTTTCATTAGCTATGCAGGCATTGTAAAGACACGGTATATTTAAAATTTCATTCAATTTGAACCAGTAGTTTAAGAATTATAACGGGTCAAAGTTACTTAATTTTGTCACTCACTGACTGACTCACTCACTCACTGACTCACTCACTGACTCACCGATCATCAAAACTCTAAGGCACTTCTAGCAGACCTAGAAGCTTCAAATTTGGAATATAAGTAGTGTTTGGTGTATGAATCAAGGAAAAACTAAAATATTTGGGGGCACGGTAGTGCAACCGCCAAGTCGAGTAAAATTTTTCAATTTCGGTCCAGTTTTCTAGATACATAACTGCTGTCTACAAAATACAAAAAGAAATGAGATCCCATCAAAAACAATACTTGTCAAAAAAACCAAGTCTCGCAACTCAGTTGTTCTACGGTAAAAAGTTGTGAGATCCATGTAATACCAAGTCCAGGCCAGGAAATCTTTAACGTTTTACATAAATATATTGACTTGGCCATCGCATGAAAACACGTGTAAATTAAATTATTTAGTGCGATGGCCAAGTCAATAATTTATGTAAAACGTTAAAGATTTCCTGGCCTGGACTTGGTATTACATGGATCTCACAACTTTTTACCGTAGAACAACTGAGTTGCGAGACTTGGTTTTTTTGACAAGTATTGTTTTTGATGGGATTTACATGACTTGTAGTGATTCAGTAGAAAACATATCTCATTATCGTAGTGGTAAGGTTCCACCACACTTGGTATTCGTCAAAAAACGATAAAAGTAATTTAAACAAGTACACACGGCCACACTGTTAACTATCCATTTCCGTTTTTGCTCTCGCTCTAATCCAATGGTGATTCTTTGCGATAGAACGAGACGACATGACAGACAATGGATAGTTAACAGTGTGGCCGATGGTACATCAAACTAAATGTTCGATATGTTTCCATCAGAAAACGAACACGCTCTCACCGAAGTTCGTGAACAACTGCAAACAAGTCTGCACAGGGAAAGGGCGCAAATGGTGGAGGAGAACAGAGCGATTATAGATTCGCTGCGGGACGAACACACCGCGAGGATCACGGAGCTGAGACACGATTATAGGGCTGAGGTATGTTCACAGCTGTATAACTTATGTCCGTTTTCACCATCTTGACTTACTTGACTTATGGTCCTATGTCCCCTAGATGGGGCAGAGGGCGTCCACAACAGTCCTCCATCTCGTTCGGTCTTGAGCTTCTCGCTTGATCTCGCTCCAGGTCTTGCCGATCTTCTTCGCCTCGTCCGCTACAGTGCGCCGCCAAGTTTGCCTGGGTCGACCACGTTTGCGTTTTCCTTGGGGATTCCAATCCCGAGCCTGCTTAGGGATGTGATCGGGGTCCCTTCGGAGAGTGTGGCCAATCCAGTTCCACTTGCGGCGCTTGATCCGCTGGTCGATCGGAATTTCGTGGCAGCGTTTTCACCATCAATCCCTAATTTTTAAGTGACCATTATGCAAACAAAATTCCTGTTATGTGTTACCATAGGATTCACATAAAAATTTGAGAAAACAGGCATTGTGTTTAAACATTTTATTTTAATTAGTTTAACCAGTCACAACAAAATCTCAGGTTTCAAATCATTAATTTTTGAGGGCTTTAGAATAGTTTCAAAAGACGAAAGTACGTTTTTCTAGAAACTTTCTGCCCCGTACAACCAAACTGTGGAATGGGCTGTCGTCTGTTTATTTATTTATTTATTTATTTATTTATTTATTTATTTATTTAGGAAAACCAGGGTTTTACAGTGTGTAATAATGACACAAGATAGGCAACGAGTAAACCACTTATAGGTTCCCACAGGTAAAAACAATTTAAAAAATTTAGTGAGCCTTTGCACCAGGGTTACTACATACTACGTACTACACTACTATAATAAACTATGTATACCTAAATAAAAAGTATTGGAAAACATTGCTAAACAGAAAAACAATTTAGCTGTCCTTAAAAAAACGGTCGCCTAGCTTTCTCCTCGCCACAGCAATGCTAGTACAAAATATGTCGATGTTAGTCTCCTTGACAAATTCGTTCAAGTTCCTACTCGCCCGCCAGAGAAAACTATTTTGCCTGTAGTTAGAGTCTACCTTGGGGATGTATAGTGGATCATTATTGCGCAGAATTCTTTTTGGAGCATTAAATTGAATGTTAGCTAGGAGTTCAGAGCAGTCAATCTCAGCTGTGATAACTTTTATAAGATATGTGATATCAGATATTTCACGCCTAATGGCAAGAGGAAGGATGTGGTGCCTTTTACAGATGTTAGAGTAGTCCGACGAACTATACTGTGATCTGGTACGGTAACAAATAAACCTTATAAACTTTTTCTGGATATTCTCCAAGCGAGAGACGTATGTTTGGTACCTAGGGTTCCAGATCTGCGACGCATACTCAAGGTGACTACGCACAAATGTGCAATATAGTATTTTAAGTGTCTTTACCTTGTTAAAACAGACTGAGCTACGCATTACAAAACCGAGAGCCCTTGACGCCTTAGCTACTATGCTATCTATATGGTCATCAAAAATCAGTTTGGAATCGTGTATCACTCCCAGATCGCGAATGGATGTCTTCCTCTGTAGAGTTTGGCCACCCATAAGGTATGGATACAATTTAGTATTTAGCTTGCGACTGAAAGTTACAATAGAACGTTTAGAGGGGTTGAGATCCAGTTTATTGAACTTACAGTATTCAGTCTGCGGTGTTTCCGGACGGATACGACCTGCAAGCTTTCAAGAGGAGAGCGTATCTTTATCTTAAAGGCCGGCAACGCACCTGTAACGCCCCTGGGTCTGCGGGTGTCTATGGGCGACGGTAATCACTTACCATCAGGTGATCCGTCTGCTCGTTTGCCTCCTATCACATTTAAAAAAAAAAAAAAGTGCCTGAAGTATGAGAGTGTCACGGAATGGTGATTTTTGTGACGTGAAACGTCAGCGAAACTTTAGATGTGCTTCAGAGGGCGTAGTGTGAGTTTAGGTCAAACGCATTCGATGTTGACTGCGTAAAAAAGTGACATTAAATGTATTACGGATTGTACAGCGCCCCTAGTAAAAACTTTCAAGAACTAAAATCTTCATAAAATATATTATTTAACGCGCTCGCTAGTGACGACGTTTGATGTAAACTCACACTAAGCCCTCTGTCAATATGTCAACGTCACCCCTCTCGTGTCGCTTCCTGACTCAGGGACCGAGTTAAGAAAGAAAGAAAGAAACATTTATTGCCATGGACATCACAAAAGACAAAAGAGGTAGAATGAAAAAAAAAGCAAATAAGACAGAGGTGACATAAAACATACAATGAATGAATGAATAAACTAAGCAGTGCCACCCTGTCGCACAGCGATGCCCATCGCAATGGGACCCCACTCAGCATATGCTGTGGCCCCCGGTGAGGGAAGCCACGACGCTGATTTTCAGTGTGCCCCATGCCGAGTGAGAGTCACGGACACTAACCTATACTGCATAAAATAGTTAGTTATGCGCTAGACCAGGGCTGTCCAAATCATGGCCACTTTTTGGATTATTGCGGCCCGTAGAATCTTTTTTATCTTCTTTGTTTAAATACATTAATGAGCAAATTATTTTTATCGCGACGAAATTCAAATGTTTTGGGTATGTTGGTAATGAAACAGGACTTGATTTTTTTAAGCTCCTCGCTGAACGTTTCCCGAAACTGAGAAATTTCGGGCAAAAATGGGCTCGATGATGGGCAGTACCTACCTTTGTGAGAGTGCATATTCAAAAATGAAGCTTATTAAATCGTAATACAGGTCTTCATTGACAGATACTTCACTTAAACATGCACTGCGCTTAGCTACTACTAATATTGAGGTTGATGTTGACAGAATTGTAAAAGACAAATTAATGAAAAAGTAGATAATAAATAACGATATTATTATTACCAGTATTTTATTTTTATAAATATTTTACGGCCAACCAATGTATTTAGTCATTTTTATTGGTTCTGGGTCCCATCTAGTTTGGACACCCCTGCGCTAGATCTAATTACATGTAATTCTTCTAGGTGGAGCGTCTCAGAACCCAACACGCGTGTCATCTCGAAGAATTACGGGCGCGTCTGGCAAGCGAGCGCGCGGCTTCAAGCCGGCACCACGAGGAGCGCGCCATGGCCGAAAAGTACAAGTGCTTGAAGGAGAAGTACGCTCGCCTGAAGCACGACGTCAAAGTGAGTAGCACGACACAGTAGGCACTAGCACAGAATAATAATAAGTACTTCGTACAGAAGATTTTCTTCGCGAAGGTATTTAAAAAAATGTGTGCTCAATGTCGTTAACAATATGGTGTAATTTAGCTTGTCTCAAGAGTCGAACACCATTTCGTTGCCAAACGTCCGTGATCGGTACTGCGCCGAAGCCCTAAGGCTGACTTCGGTAAAATGATGTGTGACGTGAGGTGCCAAACTGCGGAAAATGGCGGAGGAAATACATGAATAAACATGAATTATATTTTGTGTTTCTACTATTATTTCGGTAGTTAAAATACTGCACAGTTTTTTTCTACTTTCCATCATACATAGTTTATTGTCTTTACAATGCAAATTTGTGAAGAACACACGTGCGTGTGTCAATGCTCGCTCGTAAGTGTCCTGTCGATTAAACATCCCGGTAGGTGCCGTCGCGCGTGTTTGTCCTTACAAACTCGCGGAGATGAACAGGCCTGGCACTAGATACGCCAAAGTGAGCCGTATTACAAGAGAGCTACGGGCGCGTCTATCGAGCGCGTAGCTTCAAGCCGGCACCACGAGGAGCGCGCTATGGCTGAGAAGTACAAGTGCTTGAAGGAGAAGTACGCTCGCCTGAAGCACGACGTCAAAGTGAGTAGCACGACACAGTTGGCACTAGACACGCCATCATCATCATCATCATCATTTCAGCCATAGGACGTCCACTGCTGAACATAGGCCTCCCCCAACGCTTTCCACGTTGATCGATTGGTAGCGGCCTGCGTCCAGCGCTTCCCTGCTACCTTTACGATGTCGTCGGTCCACCTTGTAGGTGGAGTCCCACGCTGCGTTTTCCAGTACGCGGCCTTCATTCCAGAACCTAGCTGCCCCATCGGCCGTCAGTTCTGCGTACTATGTGCCCTGCCCATTGCCACTTCAGCTTGCTAATCCGTCGGGCTATGTCAGCGACTTTAGTTCGTTTACGCCAATATGAGCCGTATTACAAGAGAGCTACGGGCGCGGCCAGCGAGCGGCCTCCAGTCGGCACCACGAGGATGATTGTAGGAGAAGTACGCTCGCCTGGAGCACGACGTCAAAGTGAGTAGCACGACACAATAGGCACTAGCACATAATAATAATAAGTACTTCGTACAGAAGATTTTCTTCGCGAAGGTATTTAAAAAAATGTATGCTCAATGTTAACAATATGGTGTAATTTAGCTTGTCTCAAGAGTCGAGCACCATTTCGTTGACAAACGTCCGTGATCGGTACTGCGCCGAAGCCATAGGGCTGACTTCGGTAAAATGATGTGTGACGTGAGGTGCCAAACTGCGGAAAATGGCGGAGGAAATACATGAATAAACATTAATTATATTTTGTGTTTCTATTATTATTCAGGCAGTTAAAATATTCATCATCATCATCATTTCAGCCATATGACGTCCACTGCTGAACATAAGCCTCCCCCAATGCTTTCCACGTTGATCGATTGGTAGCGGCCTGCGTCCAGCGCTTCCCTGCTACCTTTACGATGTCGTCGGTTCACCTTGTAGGTGGGCGTCCCACCCTGCGTTTTCCGGTACGCGGCCTCCATTCCAGAACCTAGCTGCCCCATCGGCCGTCAGTTCTGCGTACTATGTGCCCTGCCCATTGCCACTTCAGCTTGCTAATCAGTCGGGCTATGTTAGCGTGATGTGTGACGTGAGGTGCCAAACTGCGGAAAATGGCGGAGGAAATACATGAATAAACATGAATTAGGTATATTTTGTGTTTCTACTATTATTTCGGTAGTTAAAATACTGCACAGTTTTTTTCTACTTTCCATCATACATAGTTTATTGTCTTTACAATGCAAATGGGTGAAGAACACACGTGCGTGTGTCAATGCTCGCTCGTAAGTGTCCTGTCGATTAAACAACGCGGTAGGTGCCGTCGCGCGTGTTTGTCCATGCAAACTTGCGGAGATGAACAGGCCTAGCACTAGATACGCCAAAGTGAGCCGTATTACAAGAGAGCTACGGGCGCGTCTATCGAGCGCGTAGCTTCAAGCCACCACGAGGAGCGCGCTATGGCCGAGAAGTACAAGTGCTTGAAGGAGAAATATGCTCGCCTGAAGCACGACGTCAAAGTAAGTAGCACGACACAGTTGGCACTAGACACGCCATCATCAAAATCAAAAAATCAAAATCAAAATTATCTTTATTTGTTTAGACTAATTAAATTAGTACTTGCAAATCGTCAAATGCTCTTAAGGAGCCTATACATGTCTCATTCTTTTTTTGCCCTACCAGCGCTTCGAGACAAACATTTGGCAAGTGCTGAGAAGAAGCTCCGCAACAAACTCAGTCACCAAAATCTTCATTACAGCCATAGGACGTCCACTGCTGAACATAGGCCTTCCCCAATGCTTTCCACGTTGATCGATTGGTAGCGGCCTGCGTCCAGCGCTTCCCTGCTACCTTTACGATGTCGTCGGTCCACCTTGTAGGTGGAGTCCCACGCTGCGTTTTCCAGTACGCGGCCTTCATTCCAGAACCTAGCTGCCCCATCGGCCGTCAGTTCTGCGTACTATGTGCCCTGCCCATTGCCACTTGCTAATCCGTCGGGCTATGTCAGCGACTTGAGTTTGTTTACGCCAATACAAGTGCTTGAAGGAGAAGTACGCTCGCCTGAAGCACGTTGCAAAGTGAGTAGCACGACACAGTAGAACGGCACTATAGACTGGTCGCCGAGCACGTAGAATTTTGTTCAATGACCCCAAGCTACCCATCCTTATCGCTCGCGCGTAATTATATTGCTGTCGCGACTGTACGACGGGCGCCCGCAGTGAGTGTGCGAGCGCAACAGCAACATAATTACGCGCGAGCGATAAGGATAGGTAGCTTGGGGTTATTGGACAAAATTCTACGTGCTCGGAGACCGGGCTTTAGACACGCCAATATGAGCCGTATTACAAGAGAGCTACGGGCGCGTCTAGCGAGCGGCCTCCAGTCGGCACCACGAGGTGCCGAGAAGTACAAGTGCTTGAATCAGAAGTACTATCGCCTGAAGCACGACGTCAAAGTGAGTAGCGCGACACAGTAGCACGGCACTACAGTCTGGTTGCCGAGCACGTAGAATTTTGTCCAATGACCCCAAGCTACCCATCCTTATCGCTCGCTCGTAATTATATTGCTGTCGCGACTGTACGACGGGCGCCCGCAGTGAGTGTGCGAGCGCAACAGCAACATAATTACGCGCGAGCGATAAGGATGGGTAGCTTGGGGTTATTGGACAAAATTCTACGTGCTCACAGACCGGGCTTTAGACACGCCAATATGAGCCGTATTACAAGAGAGCTACGGTCGCATCCAGCGAAAGAAATGTTGCCTCTAGTAGATCTATCTTGTTGTTGTTGTTGTTTCAGCCAAATGACGTCCACTGCTGGACAAAGGCCTCCCCCAAGGTTTTCCACAATGAACGGTCCTGCGCTATCTATGATCTATCTATGAGTCTAGTAAAAATTATAGTAATAATAGTCCTTACTGTATACTGATTTTGTTCACAGATGTCAATAGAGCGCCGTAACAAAAGAAGAGAAATGAGCATGACCACGGGTTCGGAGACTGAAAAATCTAACTCGCATAAAGCGACACAAGAAAGGTCAGTATTTATCTCGCCCATTAATGTTTTACGACTTTTTACCTAATATGTGATTTTAAAAGTTACTTTTTTTCTAAACATTAATCTTGACTGTAACTCAAAAATCCTTCCATAATAATGTTCGACTTATTATATTTTTTTGTTACTTGTAGTAGTTAATCAATGTTATAATGTCGATAGCAGTGCTTTGAATAGTCAAAGCATACGGATAGTGACGTCGATACTATTGACAGCTCAGAATAAATACTTAGCTCATTTTCCACAGGTGTAAAGAACTCAACGAGCGTTCATCAAGCATAGCAGCTGAGACGGATCAAGGCAGCGGCCGCGCTAACAACAACCCCACTGTAAGATACAACGACAACGAGACCTCGCAGTCCGAGACGCACAAGTCGAGCCACAACAACAACCACAACTGGACCGCTAGAGAGAACGTAAGTGTATTACTAAAGCCCGGTCTGTGAGCACGTAGAATTTTGTCCAATGAACCCAAGCTACCTATCCTTATCGCTCGCGCGTAATTATATTGCTGTCGCGACTGTGCGACGGGCGCCCGCAGTGAGTGTGCGAGCGCGACAGCAACTTAATTACCCGCGAGCGATAAAGATGGATAGCTTGGGGTCATTGGACAAAATTCTACGTACTCGGAGACCGGGATTTAGTATAGCAGCGGAGACGGATCAATAGGCCAGTAGAATTAAACACAAAAATTGATTAAATCGGAAATAATTCCTACAAAAGATTTTATTGCTTTAATGGCTTCATTGGTTGCCCATTAAGACTCTCCTAAGTTTTCGACTTCGACGGAGTTGTGCTTAAGTGGTGGGGGCCCCCGAAAGGGGCATTTTTTCGGTTTTCCGGTTATACCGCGTAAAGGACTTACCCTATCAAAAAGTGGTCTTCATGACGGTTGAAGGGCACTTAATCCTGCATTGAATAAGACCAAATTCATATGTTTTGGACAAACCGTTCTCGCGCTAAAGTTCGGCAAAGTAGAAAATATACGTATAATTAATGACCCTCTCCACGTCCAATGGCTTGTTACCCACATGCTTCCAAGCCTTGTAAAGGGTCGCCTTAACCAGTGTAACCCTAACAAGGCTCACGAGTTTGATTCGCTTATCCTTGTTCGTCCCAGCCGTTCCTTAACTGCGGTTGCTGCACCTCTTCCTGGCACTCTCCTGAACGACTCTGTGTTACCTAATGTGGCTGCCCCTCTTCCTTGTACCCTCCTGTACGATTTCATTGCTTAGCCATATGCCTGGTCCAAGGTTCGACGCCACAAAATCAACTTCGTACGAGTGAAAATAGTTTAAATACTATTTCCCGTGCTTGCAACATTTTTCTTTACTGCTTCGCCTCTATTAGTCGTAGAGTGATTGTATATATCCTATAGCCTTCCTCAATGTATGAGCTATTCAACACAAAAATAATGATTTCAATCAAACTAGTAATTCTTAAGATTAGCGCGTTCAAACAAACAAACAAAAAACTCTTCAGCGTTTTAATATGAACTTGTTGTTGTTGATTTTTGGCGTCGAACCTTAGACCAGGCATACGGCTAGGCAACGTAGTCATGCAGGAGGATACAAGGAAGAGGGGCAGCCACAGTAGGTAACACAGAGTCGTTCAGGTGAGTGCCAGGAAGAGGTGCAGCAACCGCAGTTACGTAACGTCTGGGACGAACAAGGATAGGCGCATCAAGCTCGTAAGCCTTGATAGGGTTACACTGGTTGAGGTGGCCATTTTCAAGACTTGGAAGCCTGTGGGTAACAAACCATTGGACGTGGAGAGGGTCATTAATTGTACGTATATTTTCTACTTTGCCGAACTTTAGCGCGAGAACGGTTTGTCCAAAACATATGAATTTGGTCTTATTCAATGCAGGATTAAGTGCCCTTCAACCGTCATGAAGACCACTTTTTGATAGGGTAATTCCTTTACGCGGTATAACCGGAAAACCGAAAAAATGCCTCTTTCGGGGGCCCCCACCACTTAAGCACAACTCCGTCGGAGTCGAAAATTTAGAAGAGTCTTAATGGGCAACCAAAGAAGCCATTAAAACAATAAAATCTTTTGTAGTAATTATTTCCGATTTAAAAGCTAATTCTACTGGACTACAAGGCAGCGGCCGCGCTAACAACAACCCCACTGTAAGATACAACGACAACGAGACCTCGCAGTCCGAGACGCACAAGTCGAGCCACAACAACAACCACAACTGGACCGCTAGAGAGAACGTGAGTGTATATTACCACAGGTGTTGATATCAGTCGTCTATAGTCTGGTCTGTGAGCACGTAGAATTTTGTCCAATGAACCCAAGCTACCTATCCTTATCGCTCGCGCGTCATTATATTGCTGTCGCGACTGTACGACGGGCGCCGGCAGTGAGTGTGCGAGCGCGACAGCAACATAATTACGCGCGAGCGATAAGGATGGGTAGCTTGGGGTCATTGGACAAAATTCTACGTGCTCGGAGACCGGGCTTTAGTATAGCAGCTGAGTTAGACTACGGATGCGGCCGCGCTAACAACAACCCCACTGTTAGATACAACGACAACGAGACCTCGCAGTCCGAGACGCACAAGTCAAGCCACAACAACAACCACAACTGGACCGCTAGGGAGAACGTGAGTGTATTACTACAGGTGTTGATAACAGTCGTCTAGTATAGCAGCTGGCTCGGCTACACTCTGAAGGGACCCCGTTCACATCCCTAAGCAGGCTCTATATTGAAACCCCCAAGGAAAACGAAAAAGTGGTCGCTCCAAAGAAAATTGGCGGCGGACTGTAGCAGACGAGGCGAATAAGATCGGCAAGACCATAAGTCAAGTAAGTCAAGTCATTTAAATAATGTTTCCAATTTTATTCTTTGTAATATCCATAGATATCACTAGGTGTCACCACTGAATATTACCAGTAGGGCGGTGAACACTCAAACTTTATATGACCTGTAGAACCCGACTCTTCCTTTTTTTTAATGGCAATGAGGATTAACTATCACGCCAGTAACTAGACATGCTTTCAATAAAATGAATATCACTATGTATTTGGCCTCCCTGGCTTGTGACAAGAATTAACAATGAAAGAAAGAATGAACAGTTCTTATTTGCGTGTCCCTTTTCCAGACCATACCGTCAGCAGACACGTCTCAAATATCGGCCGTGAAACACCAAAGGCCCCATCGTCGAACTGCCGTCGCTTTCAGAGAGCCGCCTCGCCGTAGGAGGGACAGAGATAGAGATGCAGGTAATTGAAGAGAAAAAGAGAGATGAATATATTTTTGTTGTGACCACTAGGCATAGGCATTAATTGCAATTGTTTTTAGGTGCAACCACAGACTGTCAAGACTCGTCCGATGCGACAACGGCAGATGAAAAACCGAAAGAAGCTGTAAATGGTAAGGAAAGATGGTCTGTATAAAATTGATATGATACTTGTTGTTACTTTTTTTAAATACAAAAAAATTTAGTGAGTGAAATTAAGATAATAATGATCTTTGTTCCATCATTACTTTTTCTATTATCTTAAAAGGAATTCAGGACCAGGGCATAGAATGATAATACCTAGGGAATATTGTTGGTGCAATCAATCGAAAATTAAAAAATACTGTATAAAGTTTAAAAATATTCACAAGATATACTAAGTTCACATACTAAGATATCATGAGATCGTTATTTTTTGTCATAGGACATGGACGTCGTAGGTGCTTTACAAGATTAAAATCGGCGTCCACTTCGCGACTCAACTACTCACCGAAGTAAGGACATTATTTTATTATTAGCAGTCTGTCCTCTTCTTACATTCATACATAGTTGGTTCTTTCTCTTTCTCTGCTTATACAGTTGAATATTCTATGAATTTCAAGCACTAATCTTTACATTACGTTGAAGCCTGTCATTGGTCTCATTATTGCTTGAGTTTGAATCGAGTTTTGTGCTTTCTATAAATTTCTTTGTACAGGGGGCGTAGTGTGAGTTTACGTCAAACGCATTCGATGTCGACTGCGTAAAAAAGTGACATTAAATGTATGATGGATTGTACACGCTCCTGGCGGAAACTTTCAAATAGTAAAATCTTCAATTATATTTTTTTAACGCGCTCGCTAGTGACGACGTTTGATGTAAACTCACACTAAGGCCCAGAACAGACGGTGAAACGCAACTGCAACGAAACTGCAACTTTCTGATGATTCTGATGAATGAAACTGAAACTGAAAGTTTCAAACTGGTCGCGTCATGTGTGGTCTCTCAACGGACGCTATGGCAGAAACTTAGATGCAACTCAAAAGTAACTAGCAGTTGTAGTTTCGTTGCAGTTGCGTTTCACCGTCTGTTTTGGCCCTCAGAATATTTTTTTTAAATAGCACTTATAACAACAGCTTATGTGCTGTCGTTTGTAACTGAAATTCTCATTAATTATTGCAGAAGAGGGGAAGGCTGGTCAAGCCCGCTTGAATCTCTGCGGCAGCAACTTAGAAAACTAGACGACTTAGAAGACCAGTTCCCTGATCTGGCCTGCCAACCGGCCTATAGCTTGAGATACCCTTTTACAGAGTTAGGTAAGTTAGTGATTAATGACAAAAATATGTATTTTTACGAACTTCTATGTGCTTTTATGTGATCAAGATTTCTGACAAAATAAATAAATGATGATTTGGTCAAAGGAATATTGAAGTACTTAAAAGATTTGGCATATTCACCTCAGAACTTCAGTCTGAAATCTGATCTTCATCGTCAAAGTCCGTTTCTCGTTTTTACATGACATTATTTCAATTGATGGTCGGACTTTTACTGGAAGAAATTATAATACAGGGTGTTTGGCGCATCGTGTGCCAAAATGATTTGGCGGATAGAATGGGTCATTTCCTATATTTTCAGCCCCCATAACACGTTCCATGTCAGGCGGCTACTTTTATATTAAGTTTTTTAGTAATTTCACCAAAATACCCAAATCGCATCATTTAATTTCGATTTAAAAAAAAACTACTAAGCGTAGCCTCAAAGTAAATATTTTGTTTTGACGTGCATTGATATAGGGTTGCATTAAATCTAAATTTACTGGCAAATATCATCTAGTTTTTTTTCAGTGTTGCCAACTCGGATTTTGAAAAAGTCGTAGGACAGATTAGAAAATTACGTAGAAATGGTACAATTTCCATATAGAAAATACGTAGATCTACGTACTTTTTTTTCTGAGTGAAATGAAGAGAGTAGGGGTAGGTAAAAGTAATAAAACGACAATTTATATTACCCTAAAAGTAGTAAAGTACACTTTTATTGTGTATCATTTTCAGACAAATTAAATTTATACATAATTATATTTGTTGGAAAGAAGGAAGGAAGTTGAAAAATATCGAAATACAACAACACCTTCGAAATCTTAGCACAATCTTAGTTCGAAATATTTTTATAGCGTCAGTGACATTTACAGGGGGGCGCTGTACAGCATTTTTTCTATGGGGAAATGTCAAAATAACATTAGTTCCGACTTTTGCCACATGCCAAATAACCGTGATCGGAACCATGATCGAACTTTTTCGCGAAAGTAAAGGAAACGATGCCCATTCAGCCTATTTTGCAAATTTGATAGAAAATACGTAGATTCTGGGACTAAAGTTCGTAGGTTTGCAAGGAAGGCTTAAAATACGTAGATCTACGTAAAAATACGTAGAGTTGGCAACCCTGTATAGTGGGGACCTAATGATGATGATTCTTAAATGATTCTTACTCATGCAAGTTAGGATCGTTATTACAATAACTTCTACCTTAGGAGGAACGCGAAGCAACAGAACTAGAGGTGGCGTTACACCGAGCGCGGGCGTTACTTGGAGAGAAGGAAATAAGGCTGAGACACATTGAGCGCGCGCTGCGAAGGCTCGCCGACGCACATCCACCTCCGTTGATACAGGTCAAAGGCTTGATTGGGTTTTTCTACAATTTTCGTTGCGTCTTCCATGGTTTTTCATTTAGCGAATTCTATGTTCAGTTTCGTTATTGCTGGTTTGTCTTCTGTATCAATTTTTTTTTTGTTATAAATGTTTTATTTTGCTGTATTCTTCTTTATTTCAATTCGGTTTCTCCTCACCTCATTTTGATTTATTTATTCAACATTAAGATTGGTTTTGTTGGAATCGTCTCTGTAGCAATCTGGCTCTGCAGAGCTATGTTGTCTTTTGTTTCTTCTTTTCCACATGACAGTGTTATAGATTTTCTGTTGAGCTTTTGTTGTCGTTGCTTGCCTTTTTCAAATTGATTCTTTTAAACCGCTGCTGCAGACTATTATTCTTATGCAATTATTTCCATTCATAATACAATCACGCTATTTTTATCTTATTTACATACCTACTTAAATACGATGACTACTGTACTGTCTGACTACTATGGGTAAATGTTAAAAGTTAATAAACGAAAGATCTTCTACACAGGAAGCAACAACCAGCGAAGCGTCATCCGGCAGCGAAGCAGCAGTGGTGGAGAACGAAGCGGGTGGCGCCGTGCTTCGGTCGCTGCGGGCTTTGCATGCGGATGTTAGGGACATCTGGCGCGCTTTAGATGCTAGGAGGCCTCATACAGGTGAGATGACAAAGAAATATTCTAAAGCAACGACCAGCGAAGCGTCATCCGGCAGCGAAGCAGCTGGGTGGAGAACGAAGCGAGCGGCGCCGTGCTTCGGTCGCTGCGGGCTTTGCATGCTGATGTTAGGGACATCTGGCGCGCTTTAGATGCTAGGAGGCCTCATACAGGTGAGATGACAAAGAAATATTCTAAAGCAACGACCGGCGAAGCGTCATCCGGCAGCGAAGCAGCAGTGGTGGAGAACGAAGCGGGTGGCGCCGTGCTTCGGTCGCTGCGGGTTTTGCATGCAGATGTGAGGGACATCTGGCGCGCTTTGGATGCTAGGAGGCCTCATACAGGTGAGATGACTTAGAAAGATTCTAAAGTTAACCAGCGAAGCGTCATCCGGCAGCGAAGCAGCTGGGTGGAGAACGAAGCGGGCGGCGCCGTGCTTCGGTCGCTGCGGGCTTTGCATGCTGATGTTAGGGACATCTGGCGCGCTTTGGATGCTAGGAGGCCTCATACAGGTGAGATGACTTAGAAAGATTCTAAAGTTAACCAGCGAAGCGTCATCCGGCAGCGAAGCAGCTGGGTGGAGAACGAAGCGGGCGGCGCCGTGCTTCGGTCGCTGCGGGCTTTGCATGCTGATGTTAGGGACATCTGGCGCGCTTTGGATGCTAGGAGGCCTCATACAGGTGAGATGACTTAGAAAGATTCTAAAGTTAACCAGCGAAGCGTCATCCGGCAGCGAAGCAGCTGGGTGGAGAACGAAGCGGGCGGCGCCGTGCTTCGGTCGCTGCGGGCTTTGCATGCTGATGTTAGGGACATCTGGCGCGCTTTGGATGCTAGGAGGCCTCATACAGGTGAGATGACTTAGAAAGATTCTAAAGTTAACCAGCGAAGCGTCATCCGGCAGCGAAGCAGCTGGGTGGAGAACGAAGCGGGCGGCGCCGTGCTTCGGTCGCTGCGGGCTTTGCATGCTGATGTTAGGGACATCTGGCGCGCTTTGGATGCTAGGAGGCCTCATACAGGTGAGATGACTTAGAAAGATTCTAAAGTTAACCAGCGAAGCGTCATCCGGCAGCGAAGCAGCTGGGTGGAGAACGAAGCGGGCGGCGCCGTGCTTCGGTCGCTGCGGGCTTTGCATGCTGATGTTAGGGACATCTGGCGCGCTTTGGATGCTAGGAGGCCTCATACAGGTGAGATGACTTAGAAAGATTCTAAAGTTAACCAGCGAAGCGTCATCCGGCAGCGAAGCAGCTGGGTGGAGAACGAAGCGGGCGGCGCCGTGCTTCGGTCGCTGCGGGCTTTGCATGCTGATGTTAGGGACATCTGGCGCGCTTTGGATGCTAGGAGGCCTCATACAGGTGAGATGACTAAGAAAGATTCTAAAGCAACGACCAGCGAAGCGTCATCCGGCAGCGAAGCAGCAGTGGTGGAGAACGAAGCGGGCGGCGCCGTGCTTCGGTCGCTGCGGGCTTTGCATGCTGATGTTAGGGACATCTGGCGCGCTTTAGATGCTAGGAGGCCTCATACAGGTGAGATGACAAAGAAATATTCTAAAGCAACGACCAGCGAAGCGTCATCCGGCAGCGAAGCAGCAGTGAGAACGAAGCGGGCGGCGCCGTGCTTCGGCCGCTGCGAGCTTTGCATGCGGATGTGAGGGACATTTGGCGCGCTTTGGATGCTAGGAGGCCACATACAGGTGAGATGCATAAGAAAGATGCTAAAGCAACGACCAGCGAAGCGTCATCCGGCAGAGAAGCAGCTGGGTGGAGAACGAAGCGGGTGGCGCCGTGCTTCGGTCGTTNATATATTAAATAGCGTGACAGATCATTTTAGTTTTGAAAAGAATGGACATTTATAACTTCAAGCCTCATACATCATAATTATGTCTAAAAAAAATGCATATAACAACGATAGGAATTCATTAACTCGGTAGCATACAAAAATAATGAACGTTGAAAATAGTTGTGAAATTATTCAACAGCGTTGTATTCACTCGTAAGTGTCATTTATTGAGAAATTCAACAACATATCACAGTTCATATTCATGGCGAAATAAAGACAAGTCTATGAAAAGTGTGAGTGATGTGCCTGCCTACACATTTCAGATTACATAAGATTAACCTGTGGGAGTAGTGAACGCACTATATTTTGTGCCACAAACTGTATAAAAGGTAAATGATCCGAATATGATAACTATCTTCGCTCGCTCGCATCAATCAATATATAAAATACTAGTAAAGCCTTTAAAAGCGGCCCACAGAGGTGACTGAGTTTCTTGCGCTGCTTCTTCTCAACACTGGCCCACTTACTGTTCCGAAGCAGTGGTAGATGAAACTTTATTTTTATTGTATTTAACTAGATCAGCTGAGCTAGGATGCGCACCCTGATGGAATCTTACCATGATTTTAGACAACAGACGTATGGGCTTATCATTCAAAGTTTATAAAAAGTTTATCATGGCGCGTATCCTAGGCCTCCACTACGGAAATTAAAATTGTAAGAAAAATAATTGACATGTTAATTTGAGATACCTACCTATCTTGTGGGAAATTCGTAATGTAATAAGTAGACACACCTACTATTTATTAACTTATTTGAGGTCAAATAATAATGTGTTGTGATGTTTGAGTCTAATATTTTATTTGATAAATTGGCTATTTTGTCCAAAGATGGTTGAATATTAATTTGACCTTTTGATTTGTTTCAATTTAATCGAAAGGAATATTTGGATGCTAGGAGGCCTCATACAGGTGAGATGACTAAGAAAGATTCTAAAGCAACGACCAGCGAAGCGTCATCCGGCAGCGAAGCAGCAGTGATGTTAAGGACATCTGGCGCGCGTTGGATGCTAGGAGGCCTCATACAGGTGAGATGACTAAGAAAGATTCTAAAGCAATGACCAGCGAAGCGTCATCCGTCAGCGAAGCAGCTGGGTGGAGAACGAAGCGGGTGGCGCCGTGCTTCGGTCGCTGCGGGCTTTGCACGCAGATGTGAGGGACCGGAAGACGTAGTGTTGGCAATCCTCCCACTTGATGAAGCCCGAAGGCCGAAATCAAGCAATGGACACCTTTTTTTTAAACGAATAAATATTGTCAAGGCGGTAAAGTACTAATATTATGGCTTCCATATTCAAGCTGCTCTCTAAAAATGTAATTATTTTGTATAATTTCGTATAATTGTTATTGATTTGTTTTTACGTTTCTTTATAGCATCACCAGAAACGAGTTCTTGCAATGCACCGAGCACTTCGCAAACCCGGATGACTTTATCTGCTGTAAGTACAAATATTAATTTACATTTTCGAGCACAGGCATTATTACGGTGGGTCTACGCTAGACAAGTCGAGCACGAGCGTAGCACGAGCTCAGTCAAAATTTGTGTAGACCACTTACGAGTCTCGAACGAGAGTGAGTAAATCGTCTTCGCCTATTCAAATCAAATCAAACTTTGATTTGTCTTCGCCTATTGTCCGTTTTTAGGGTTCCGTAGCCAAATGGCAAAAAACGGAACCCTTATAGATTCGTCATGTCTGTCTGTCCGTCCGTCCGTCCGTCTGTCTGTCCATCCGTATGTCACAGCCATTTTTTTCCGAAACTATAAGAGCTATACTGTTGAAACTTGGTAAGTAGATGTATTCTGTGAACCGCATTAAGATTTTGATGCAAAAATAAAAAAATAATAATAAATATTGGGGGCTCCCCATACTTAGAACTGAAACTCAAACATTTTTTTTTCGTCAAACATACGTTTGGAGTATCTATGGAGAGGTCTTCAAAAAAACGATATCGAGGTTTCTAAAATACTTTTTTTCTAAACCGAATAGTTTGCGTGACAGACGCTTCCAAAGTGGAAAAAGTTGGTCCCCCCCCCTCTAACTTCTAAAATAAGAAAATGAAAAATCTAAAAAAAACATATGATGTACATTACTATAAAAACTACCAACGAAAATTGTTTTGAACGAGATCTAGTAAGTAGTTTTTTTTAATACCTCGTAAATCGTAAACCGCTTATTACCGCGTAATCTTTCATACTAATGACTTAAATAAAAAATAATAATTTTAATTTCATAAATCAATGGTACGGAACCCTCGGTGCGCGAGTCCGAATCACACTTGGCCGGTTTTTTGACTAGTGTTTCGTGCTCGGCTCGTTTAGCGTAGGTACCTTTGGGAAAGCACATTCATTCACGGACAGCTTTATGAGAAATAGTATCATTTTCACTATTGTGTAACAAGTGTAGGTACATTATTCAATACAGTGATTGAATATAGAATACTAGCTGACCCGGCGAACTTTGTTCCGCCTTAATGGCAATAAATAAGCAGACTTTTTTAATTTCGAACGGGATAAAAAGTATCCTATATGTCCTTAACCTGGCTCTAAACTACCTCCCTGACAATTTTCAGCTAAATCGGTTCAGCCGTTCTTGAGTTATAAGTGGTGTAACTAACACGACTTTCTTTTATATATATAGATTACTTTCTTCCCCAGCCCGAACCAATAATGCAAGACAACTCCGACGGCGGCGTCGCCGAGCGAGCCCGTGGCCTTCGTGCGTGGCTTCAGACCGCACCGTAAGCCCGCTTTACTATACCGACAATACTATAGTTCTGGTAGTGACGAGCTAGATAGATTAGCGGTTGCTGTTTGTAAACTATGCCCATGTAAGTTAACAAGATTGAAGTTAAAAAATAAATGTGATCTAAAGTCCGGTCGCCGAGCAGATAGAATTTCGTCCATTGACCCGAAGCTACCCATCCTTATCATTCGCACGTCGCGACTGTGCGACGGGCGGCCGCAGTGAGTGTGCGAGCGTGACAGCGATATAAGTACGTGCGAGTGATAAGGATGGGTAGCTTGGGGTCATTGGACGAAATTCTATCTGCTCAGCGACCGGACTTTAGTCATTTAATGCAAAGGTTTTTATAATTTTGTTGAGTAAAATGAGTTGTGAAATTAGATAGGTGATGCTGGTGTGGCGAAGTGTTTATGAAGTATCAGTTTTCAAATTGAAAAATAAAGTTATTTATGCATTTGCAGTGCTCTTGTTCAATAAAGAAAGGTATTATCTGCCATAGATCACAGACGCATTTCTTTTTTTTATCTGTGTAATTAGATGACCGTGGGCTTAGTTTACATAACATTTAAAGACATGAAAGTCTTTACATAATAGTAGAAATAAAAAAACGTTGGCCATTAAGACTTCAAAATATAATTATCTTAGTATGAAATTATTCTAGTCAAAATCATTCTCAAATACAGGCACAAACTATTCAAGTATTAACATTAATTTATTATTTATGTGAGTAAATCGACTAGGTAGGTATTTAGTTGAATGACTCGACGTTTGTATAAATAGACGAAATCGTATTATTAACAAGTGAAAATCAAGTTAATTTAAACGATGTCGTTTGTCATTTTTCGAAGTCTAGTCGTCGAATATATTCGAACAACATTGATTGATGTCACTCAATTTTCACTCGGTTAAAACAATACAACAATTTTGTTTTAAAAATCGAGAATTGATCCTTCGATTTATTCGAAGCCATCGATTTATTTTTTTATTATGGAAAAATTGCAATTTTATAGTAAAGGGTTGTGCCTGACTGTATTTAAAAACAAACCGGTACAGGTTTGACTTCAAAAATGTACTTAAGACTACAGACGTAAACACCATTTTCGCACAAAATATACTACATACAATGTTAATTTTTAGACCATTTGCTGTTTAAAATTTGAAGTCCCATCGGAGGGTAGTATGGTCTTACGCGTATGTGTTGTATTATGTATAGAAGTTGACTTTTGTCATAAAATAATATGTGGTTCTACTATTTATAAATCATTTCGTAAATACGTAGATAAATATTTTTTATTCACTATTCGGCTGTAGAGTAGAATTTGATCTAGAAAAGTGTATGACCATGCTAGATGCACTGACTGACCAGGGCATCTAGCTAAAAATGCTATAGATTTCGATTCGATCGGAATTTATGTATTGCATCAGTATGAAAAACATTGATCGATGCGGCTCAGAATGACCGTGTATTGAATGAAATCTTCTTGGCCGAATAGTAAATTCAAAAGAAAAAGATTAGTACTGAAAATGCTTATGATACGGAACGCAACGTTGTCAATTAGCAAAGCTTACGTTTTGGGTTTAGAATGCGGGCAACGTCGCAAAATATTGTCTTTTAAATAATTAAAAAATAAAAATAAAGTATAATTTCAATAATTTTATTATGCAACTTCGTAAAATATTAAATTTTGATAAAAAAGTAATTTCAATAATTAATTTATTAAAATTACAAAAGTGCGCGCACAAACTAATGGTAGTGTGATAGCCAAGTTCTGATGAAACTTTGTGCTTAAATCACATTTCGTGATAATAATATGGTTTACACTCAAATAATAGCATTTATAGATCGGTATCGTAAAATAAAAAAAATATTTATCAACAATTTATTAGGTGTTAGTGTTAATAAAATCTGTTTAAGTATTGCCTTCGATCCCTCGGAGATTATAGCATGTATCTTGTGGTGTACTACTACACAAATAAAGAGTGTGCGCTATGGCAACACTGACTAGTACGGCGCGGTGGGGGCTCAGTCGTAGTCGGGCCGCCACACGGGACGGACGTCAGTGCTTGCACTAGCTTACACAGTGAACATATACCAGTGTTTTATTTAAGATACCACAATGGCGACGAGGATAAAAGTGAGTAATAATAATTAATAATTTTAATGATTATATACCCAATAAATTAAATAAAATAAAAGGGAGGTAGCTACAATCATTACACTTACAGAATGTACTTTCACAGTCTATTTGCCGATTATTATTTTTCAAAATCATTATTATTATCAACGTCAAGTCAATTAATATTTAATTTTACAAACAATACCAAATCTCCAACCCATAGTAATATTGATTTTGATTATGTTGCGCGTACGCATGAGTCACAGGTGTTATGTTGATTAACAAACTCGTTACTTACCAAAAGTCACTTGTTATTATTAAGTAATTAGTCTTGTTAAAACTAAATCATGTAAGATCATTTGAGCCAAACTGACGCAGACAGAATATGTCTGCCTGCCAGTTGAAGGGTACCTATTTAAACTGTAATTTGCAATGCCACTGAGACTCGTTTTGATCATTATTCCTTATCGAACTAAATAATTTATATTATTACAATTATCGTATTCCTGAACGAATTAAATTGTTTTACTACAATGAAATATACGTAATACTAGTAGGTTACCTCCTGTTTACATCAATGCTACCTATAAAACGAGACAAGATAATGTATTGTTAAGAAATTATGACAATCTGATTGGGTATATAATCTTAAATAATAAATAAAGCAAGTAGTGAATTGCTAATATAGAATGATAAACAAAACAAGTAGTGAATTGCTAATATGGAATAATAAACAAAATTATAGCAAGCGGCCTGAAGCGCGGCGCGTCCGCCACGCACCGCTTCCTTGTCGCTCACATACTTCACTTCACCCCCGGTACTGGTAGCAGATACGTGTAATTTTATGTAATTGTGTTCCAAATATTAGTGAAATGGCTCCTACTGTAAGTGAATTTCCTGTACGAAATCCATTAAGCAGTCAAGTGAAAGAAATTTTATGCAAATTGAATACGTATTTTAAAGGTGTGAACGAAAAGTTTTTAGTCTGTTTTTATTTTGTAATTTTATAAAGTTTGTCTTTTTGTTGTATTTTGTAAGGCTGGCTGGACGCCCTCTCTATAAACGGTGCTCGCAGAATATCAGCGTCGAGGTACTTCGTGCCTTGGCATATGCTGAGCGAGGACCTGTTTTTATTTATTTATTTATTTAAAAGGATGTGTCAAGTGTCGTTACATCGGCCCAATTGGTAGCAAGTGTTTTATAGACTTCCTTTTAATAAAACATTAAAATTTTATTTACTTGTATGTGTTTTACTAACGGTACTTTTGGCGATCACTCACACAAATGCAATTCTCAGCTTAAGTTGATAGGACTGTATTTGTGGCAATTTTTTATAAAAATCATCAAAATCACGTACACTACTTGTATTCATTTCTCTACAATCCTACAATCTACATCATCATCAGCAGATCATTATTTCTTATATGTATGTACACACATTATTATATAATTTTACATGAAAATACATATACTACACCTTTTCTAATTTTCTCTTCCTTGACAACAATAGAGGTTGTTGTGGTGTTTCTTTATTCTGTAAAGCACAAAGTAGTGGATATTAAATCCTTACTAATTCCTGTCTATTCCTAACTATAAAGGGTGGAAACGTTAAGTGATCTCACTCGATTATTTCTAAACTATACAAGATATTGAAAAACTGGTTACTGATCCTGAAAGTGCTTCATGAGCTCTTTCAAACGTTACCAATAATAGGTTACAGAATAAACAGGATAACAAGTGAGAGTATTTTTTATTTTGTAAATAGTTTTTATAATTAGTAATTTTTAAATTTTAATTTTTAAGTCATTTTAAGTTAATGTATTATTATAAAATTAATTCTCCAGTAAAGTTCTATACAATATGAGAGTTATTTTTTAATAATAATTAGTATCATTCGTCTGTCCGATATCGATAAGAATCGATTATTGATTAAAGTAGTAGAACGAACAACACTAGTAGCAAAATATGACAGACGAATGAGAAGTTGCGTGTACAACGAAGTCGAAGCGATGCGCGACAGTGGCGCTTGTCCGTTATACATCGCCTCTTAACACATAACGTCAGATCAAACGCTCAAAACAAACCCGGCAATGTATCGTAAAAAATTTTTTGAATGGTAAGTTATAGATTTTNAGCAGATTTTTTTCAAAAAGTATCATTTTTTATTATTTGTTGGCCTTTTTTGTGTATTTTATGTATTTTTTTAGTATCGCCTGTTATTTAGCATTATTACTATTTTTATTTTATCAGGATATACCGCTTAGTTTAAAAGTTATTACGTTTTCTTTACAATAAGTAATTGGAAGAAAAAAAATTCTATAAAAAATTAAAAAAAAATCTCAAAAATTTTTTGACCTCTTTTTTGTCGATAAAAATAGGTCTAGTTTCATATTTTTTCATATGTACACTTTAACGTGACTCACACTGTAAAATAGATTGTCTGATTCTTATATCAAACTTTGTTATATCAAACGACCGAGATTGTTTTTAACTTAATTAATGCGATAGTTTGTGTGGATGTCTGGATGTTAACATAATTATGTTACTCTTTTACGCAAAAACTACTGAACGGATTTTGATCAAACTTTAGAGTATTATTGTTTATAACCCAGAATAACATATTATAGGCTATAATTTATGACGATCTGTGACAACTAAATTTCACACGGGTGAAGCCGCGGGTAAAAGCAAGTATTCTATGAATCACCTACCCCTACTCTCAATGATCATCACAACAGGGAAGGAAGATTTGCAGCAGCACGCGTCGCTAAGAATGCGTCGTAGCGTGCGTCGTGGCAGCGTGCGTCGCGGCAGCGTGCGTCGCGGCAGCGTGCGTCGCGGGAGCGTGCGTCGCGGAAGCGTGCGTCGAGGCAGCGTGCGTCAAGGCTAGAGATGTAAATTGACTGAATCTGACCGGTCACGATGGTCAAACACCATAAATGACCGGTTTAATGTCAAATTCAGTCAATTTGACTCAAATATTACTGTACTGCCACCGAATAATTTATTTTTATGCAATTTTAATGAAGGACGTTATTTTGTATATTATGAGAGAATAAAATAAAACGAACGCACGTCAAGTGCGTCATTGCCATTTCACCGATAGTGCACGAGAGCGGGGTGAAAGAAAGAGAGCACAATAAATCATTACAATAAGTACACTTGTTGTTTCAATTTAGAAGTTGTAGAGTCACTAATGTTTAACTATAAGAAAACCAGTTTTTTATATCAATTATGATATTGTAGACTTAATCAGATCTGGTGAAGGTCGCGGGAGGTGCCTGGATGCGAGTGGCGCAGGACCGGTCTTTGTGGAAATCCTTGGGGGAGGCCTTTGTCCAGCAGTGGACGTCTTTCGGCTGAAACGAACGAACGAACGAACGAAGACTTAATCCACCACAAAATCTATCACATGCAAAAGACATAATAGTCGTATACAGTGTGAGTCACGTTAAAGTGTACATATGAAAATAGATGAAACTAGACCTATTTTTATCGACAAAAAATAGGTCAAAATTTTTTTGAGTTTTTTTTTAAATTTTTTATCGAATTTTTTTTCTTCCAATTACTTATTGTAAAGAAAACGTAATAACTTTTAAACTAAGCGGTATATCCTGATAAAATAAAAACCGTAATAATGCTAAATAACAGGCGATACTAAAAAAATACATAAAATACACAAAAAAGGCTAACAAATAATAAAAAATTATACTTTTTGAAAAAAATCTGCTTAAAAATTCGTGTTTTTTTGGTTATTTGATAAATTTCTCCAAAAAATGCCCCTATAACCGGTGGTTTTTATTACTTTGTATTATTCTCTATCGTATTACCTTCGTAAAAACAAAAATCGCATGTCTCTATCCCTATCACAACTTTTGCAATGATTGTTTGAACTAAGCCTCTCCGGGCGCGCCATTCAACGCTTCGTTAAGAACGAAACTGAAAATGGCTCTAGATTTGTAATTTTGATAAAGACAAGTTAGATTTCAAATAAAAACTAAAGATTTCGAAGTAAAATAAGCATTTTAGTTAAAATTAAAATTGTCTCTACCTGTAGCGGAGAATAATGTTGTGGCAGGCCTTTGTTCAAACGATCATAGCAAATGTTGTGATAGGGATAGAGACATGCGATTTTTGGTTTTACAAAGATAACACGACAGAAAATAATACAAAGTAATAAAAACTACCTGTTATAGGGGCATTTTTTGAGAAATTTATCAAATAACCAAAAAAATACGAATTTTTAAGCAGATTTTTTTCAAAAAGTCTCATTTTTTATTATTTGTTGGCATTATCTGGGTATTTTATGTATTTTTTCAGTATCGCCTGTTATTTAGCATTTTTACTGTTTTTATTTTATCAGGATATACCGCTTAGTTTAAAAGTTATTACGTTTTCTTTACAATAAGTAATTGGAAGAAAAAAAATTCTATAAAAAATTTAAAAAAATCTCAAAAAATATTTGACCTCTTTTTTGTCGATAAAAATAGGTCTAGTTTTATCTATTTTCATATGTACACTTTAACGTGACTCACACTGTATATGTCACCGTAAGATTATAAACATCGTTTGATTACAATCTATCTCGTGAGATTGTAAACTGTCGAAAAATTGTGAACCGTAACATATGATTGCAATTTAACGCATTATTTTTCGCTTTATTGTAATCTATCGATGGGAAGCGGTCAAATTGTGATCTCAGGCGCTGATTGGTTGAACGTTATGTGCCCCCCGCCGCCCCGGCACTCGCCATATTTGTTTGTTATTTGGTTTGTTGTTAAATGTAAACTATGTGTTTTTGTGATTATAAATTAATTTCGTGTTAAAAATAACATACCTATCTAGAATTAGTTATGTAAAATTATTGTGGACGTAAAAAAATCTGTGATAAACCAACGAATAAGTGCTAGTTTCCGAACATAACGTAAATTACATAAATTTTTCGTGTTTTAATANAATTGAATAAGCAAAATATTTATGTGTAATTTGTAAGCTTATAGAAAGTACTTACTAATTAAGTATTACAGATCATTAATGGGTTATTGTCCAAAGACGGTTGAATATTTTGACCTTTTGACTTGTTTCAATTTAATTGAAAGGAAGATGAGTAACGTGTCTGGAAATTGAATAAGCAAAATATTTGTGTATAATTTGTAAGCTTATAGAAAGTACCTACTTACTAGTTATTACAAACCAATGTACTTTAATTTAGTAGTAGCATTAATTATAATATAGCTTGTCTCGAATCAAATAAAATAAGGAAGAGATGTGGTGTACTACTACACAAATAAAGAGTGTGCGCTATGGCAACACTGACTAGTACGGCGCGGTGGGGGCTCAGTCGTAGTCGGGCCGCCACACGGGACGGACGTCAGTGCTTGCACTAGCTTACACAGTGAACATATACCAGTGTTTTATTTAAGATACCACATATCTTCCAACTTATATGATGTATATTTATGTACTTCTGTTTATCGGTGGAAGTGTTTATTTGTAATTAATTTCTAGGGCAAATGTGACCACGGAGTTTGTAATGATCTACATCTTGCATTTTAATAAATTTATTTTAAAATCCGTTTTACTTAATCGCCTTTTGTTTTACATTTTACATTCCATTTTTTAAACAGATCCACCCTTTTCTCAATGATCTTGGGTACCTTCGTGAACCAATGTCCTTATTTTATTCAGTTACTTTACTTACTTCATACCTCCATTTGCATCTGGTTAAAAAATAGAGAAAATCATCGTCCTGCAGTGGAGACTATGGGACCTGACAGTTAGCGGTTAGAGTGCTGTCACATTTGCTCTTGACGGTAGTATTTATAATATTTGCTACTCGTTAGTAAGTTCCACCTTTATATCATTATGATCGAATTAATTTAACTGTGATGCGGCAGAAGTCCCAGATTGTGAAGTGTCTTTTCTACATATTCAATGACCGTGGTGTCTATTTGTAATTTTAGTTTTTTATTCGTTGTATTTACCTCTAGTCTTATGTCGCTTTTCGCTGGCCTTCTAAAATTAAACTGTTAAAAGAAATTGTACGACAGTTTTTTTGTAATTTTAGCTGACAGTATTATTTTGACTTAAATGTCATCTTACTTAAGGTCACCAAATCGCCTCCACCTGTTCTTAGCTTTTTGCGTTTAGTATTAGCCAGTACTTTGGTGGCTCTCAAAAGAAAAAAAAGCATGTAATTTAAAAGGCCAGTGAAAAAAGCGACAACTCTTGCCTTGCTTTAAATTAGTGTAAAACATTCCTAGCGTTAAGAATTCCAATTTTATGTTGTGATAGTAAACTAGGTATTTTATTATAAGTATTTATAAAAGAACTGTTTGCACGTAGATGTGTTCGTATGACGCATTCGCCCATTTAATAGTATACACCAATATTTAAAATTGTATCGTTGACTTTGGAATTGATATCTATTGCGTGTGGTCTTTATACAGGGTGTCAAATTGACGCAGACGGCGACAAATGAAGCTGAACACTGACATCTTATTTAACTTAATAAATGCAATTTTGAAACAATAATGTTAAGTCCTTATCTGTTTATGTTTAGAGTGTCGTCATCACTTCAACGAGCGAGAGTAGAAAGGTAATTAAGGAAATAAAATATTTAACGTCCGTACTTTCACTGGACATCAAATTATTACAATCGAGTTTCTGCTCTCAGCAAGAACATTTACTGCAGTGACAACTGTTATAAAAACAATATTGTGTGCGAGTAAGTACACCCTGTATATCGATCACCACTTATATCCCACCTTATTCGGTGTAACCTAGCCAAATAAACCCGTAGAAACTTAGTAATTCTAGTCAAATATCACTAATAGTGATCGTAATTTAGATATGTGCTAGTCGTGACGTCATAAAGTCATGCTAAATACAGACGTAAGAAAATTTTGCTCATCCTTATACCTGTTGACTGTGAAACAGCTATATCTAGTATTGCTATATAATTATTATGTATATTATACAACCAATAACTTCGTCATTGTCCTTTACTGTACAAAATAAAACTAAAGCCAAAAAATTGTATAAAAAAACGAATTTCCTTCTATTTACTTTTATTTACATTTATGTACCATCATAACTGTCACTTACTATTATCTCTATTTGACAATAACGTCAATATTCGAATGTCATTTTATATACACATAGAATAATTCGTTGAAATGTAAAAAATGTCCAAGTTCAGCACAAAATGACTCGTTTATTAGTGTTCAATTATATTTACACATTTTAATATTATATGTGTGCGTTTTTTCTGGCCTCCGTTATGATTATTAGAGGGGTATTTGATGTAAGGTTATGCGCAAATTGTGTAGTTTTAATTTAAAAAATATTGTTCAATCACGAAGACCTAGATGATGAAACTTAATAATCGCTTCATATTATAAAGATGTGAAACAGAGCACTTAAACCTTAATTAAAGAAGCAATAATTACAATTGTATAAAAGTAATTACTAATCAGTCTACAAAAAATTTCTTCCTTTGAAAGTTAAACATTCATAAAAAAAGGAAGAATAATTCGTAAACTTCGTACGTAAAAATAAAAAACAAAATCATTTGAATTTTTATAAAAAGTGTCACCGTTGAAAGATGTGTATCTAAATGCGAAAGAAAATAGAGAGGTGCAGGCATTAATTTTGGTTGTGCATGAAAAGAAAGAAAGTTGTCAAACACTTATCCAAGTTTTCGGTGACCAAATGGTTGAAAATATTAAATGTGAATTCGATTTCAACGTTACTTAAGTCATAATTTGCGCATAGCTGCACTCGCCTGGCGGGCAGACTGAATTATTGATATGGTTCAACTGTCGATGAATTCATTATCTTATATTATATCTAAAGTATTAAAAAATCTGATAAAGAAATGATCAATGACACTACAACTTGATTAATTGATGGTATCATTTAGTTGTCAATTCAAAGGTACACATTAATAAATTATTATTAATGTAAACTCAAAACATCGCTTAGTACACTACCGTGCCCCAAAATATTGATAAGTATAGGCCATAGTTGACTTTACTTTTGGTCTCGGCAGTTAATTTTGGTTGTAATATTTCGATACCGCATTGCATTTTGATAGCTCTGAGCTCGACAACTTCTCGTGTCACAGTATTGTTAACAAAACATCTCAGAAATGGCTTGACCGATTCTTATGTAACGTTTCCATAAATAAGACCACACAATAAGACTCCCAGATTACATACTTTTAGTCGACCGATAGTTGGGCCCGATTATAATTTGTATGAAGAATCGGACGATGTAATGTGCGCGCACTTTACAGCACATACTGATTAAATGCCCGACTAAACTATCGGCCGACAAAAATCGGTGGTCTGCACGTCTGCATTTAGGCTTACACTTGTCACTGTTGATTGACCATTCAACTAACTTGATAGGTAATGAATTCACCGACATGAAGAGTGATGGCACTGTGATAGTAATATTATTAGAGATCATTAATCAACCTCATTGTTCATCGTTTGAATGTCTTAAATATCAGGCCTACCTCTTGTTTAGTGTAATATTAACATTCGAACATTACTTATTTATTATTATGTCTATTAAAAGGCCATTTAGTTGAATTGGTTAGAAAAATACAGGGCTGCTAATGGAACAGTCCTGTTAAGAAGGTATTTGAATTTACTTAAACACATGGAGTGGTATTCAAATCAAACGGTAAAACAACTATTGTTCCTGATTTGTTTTATTTAAACTTCAACTAAATGGCACCTAAAAACTTATTCACTAAATTATATTTCTTCAGAACCCTATCTATTAATTTACAAATCATAAAAAGATATTTTATTATACGTTCTCTTTTACAAAACTAATTCATATTTACTATTATAACGTCCAGTGTTTATTATTTACAATTGTATAAGCACGTTTTAAATTAACACATTTAATAATAATATTATACTTAATTTAATTAAATGTCGCACATAAAATAGATTAACAGTTTCATTAAAATTGTGTAAGTTTTTAATAGGTACTTCGTGAAACATGAACTCATTGTTGTTTGTTACCTATAGGTAATTATAAAATAAGATAATGAACACTGTAAACTCATTGTGTAATATCTTAAACAGTAATAAAATTAACAAGCCAAAAACGATTTATGCAATAAGAATATTAAGCTGCAGTTACACTTGTGCGTCTTTTTATTTACAGTCATAAAGTATTATCAAGTTTACTTGTTCATTTAATTCTTCTAAATTAAAATTAATTTGATAAGCTTTTAGTACCAAATTCTCAATTCCTGACAATAAATAAATGAGTTATACCTATCTGTTGTTACCTACTTTATTTGAAGTAAAGGTCTCTGATGGCATATACCTTATGACCTATTTCTACCTCACGTTCGGAAATTAAATTATTCTTCTATTCTTAAATCTCAGTCAAGTGTGTCTGCAGCTTAATTTAATAGTCGTTTACAACGATAAGAATAATCTACCGAAAATAAAAACAACAAACGAACAAATGTTTTTTATTAAGTATCCAAATTATTACCTCAATTTATTTTATAATAACAACAAAATCATTGCACTGATGATAAGTATCGTCCCATCTGAAAAATAATGAGATGTTTTTATTGAAATGTTTCTCGAAAGACTTAGCCTAGGCGCAGACCGATTTTTTATCGGCCGATAGTTTAGTCGGGCAGTTAATCAGTATGGGCATGTATGGAAGTGCGCACATTACACCGATTGAGTCTTCATACAAATTAGAATCGGGCCCAACTATCGGCCAACTAAAAATCGGTGGTCTGCGCCTAGGTTTAAAATATCAGAAATTATTTTGCATCACAAATTAGTCTGTACTGTACTGATTTAAAAACTGAGGACTATGAAACCTTTTCAAATTTCAAAATTTGTGCCATATTTGACAACACTGAAGGGTCCCATATAATTATGACATTTACAGGAGCCTTCCTACTATCAATATTAGGTTAGTGCCAATAGGGATGATGACTGGGTAATGTAATCGAAATTCTATTTAGTCCGTCAGACAGATAATTAGAAAATATTAGACTGATATTTTTTATTTTTTTCCATAATCGAATAATTACAGTAATATATTGAGTTGAAATGTCGCGTGACGTCACTTTTGAGTAAAAATTCTACTCAAGCGTGACGTATCGCGCCATTTAAACTCGATGTAGCACTGTTATCTAATATTATCTAGTATATCTAATTATCTGTCTGACGGACAAATAATTGAAATTTTGTCATCTAGCCTATTTTTGTCACTTGACGTTTGAGAATCGTTTAAGTCAGTTATACAGGGTGTTAGGTAAATGGGTATATGAGCCGACACTAGCCTATGTTAACATGGGCATATAAATGGTATGGTGAAGTCAGAAAATTGATATTTTCATTTTAATTTTTTTTATTTTTATACAAATCGGATTTTATAAAATTTATTTTGTATGAAAAAAAAAAATGGTGATATCAAATTTCTGACTTCACCATACCATTTATATGTCCATGTTAACATGGGCTAGTGTCGGCTCATATACCCATTTACCTAACACCCTGTATTTTACCTAAAATCTGTCTCTGCGCGTCGTTGTACTGCGCCGATGCTCCTCTCACGACTTGGTTTCCCTTTATTACTTCTGGCGTGCATTGAATTTTGTCCAGCACTTCTGGAGGCGGCGTGATGGAGGACCACACGTCCCAGAGCTTGGATGTGGCGTTCCATACCGGTGTGCTGTGGAAGTCGTGGGGTATCTGGAAAAATGGGCGTTTTACAGGTTATTTTTAAGGGACGATCACGGTTCAACAGGTGATGATGGTAAATTAGTACCGACGCCCATAGTCACCCGCAGCCCTGGGGGAGTTACAGGTGCGTTGCCAGCCTTTCAATTACAGATCTAGCAAGATAATTAGCAAGATTATAAGAGAAAGTATTTTTTCTTTGGGTATGACCAATTTTTAACCCAATTAAATTTTATCTAAACAATATTAGAGATAATAGTCAAGTAGAGTTTTGAAATGTTTGATACAGAGGTAGTCTTATAAATAACTACTAGCTGTGCCCGCGACTTCGTCCGCGTGGACTAATGACTTTGGGTAGGCACTTTTAATAATTTAGTCTAATTATTTTACAAAGGCCTATGTTCAGCAGTGGACGTCCTATGGCTGAAATGATGATGATGATGATGATGATGATGATTTTACAAATAGCTTTTGCCCGCGACTTCGTCCGTGTAGAAGTCGAAAAAGTTCTCATAGGATTTTTAAATGGTTTTTAACGTTATTATCTAAATGTTTGAATACTATTTGATCGTTTAAACACAGTGAATGATTCAATTACATAAAATTTTAATGATACTTTTCACGGCTTCGCTCTCATGAACCGAAACCGGCTGCACCCCCTTAACGACCGTCAAAAGCACGTCGATAGATGGCGGTCACTAATTTAGACTTTGATTTGCTCGTTTAAACACAGTGAATTATTCAATTGCATAAAATATCTATAATGACTAAATTTTAAATATTATGAACAGTTCTATAAATGTAATATTTAGTTCCTAATTAGGACTAATGATACGTTTCACGGCTTCGCTCTCATGAATGTTTACGACCGTCAAAAGCACGTCGATAGATGGCGTTTTTAAGGATATTTCTCACCTCTTAACTATTTATTGAAATTTAGTTTGTCACATATCGTCATAAATTGTAGCCTATATATTAGCCTGGGTTATAAATAATAATACTGTAAAGTTTCAACAAAATCCGTTTATTAGTTTTTGCGTGAAAGAGGAACAAACATCCAGACATCCAGACAAAAAGGTTACAGTGAGCCAACCATAAAAGATAGACATATGCTGTAGCGGACTTTTTTGTAGAACTTTTAAAGGGGAAAATCCTATCATACATAATTTATGCGAAACTTTAACCGTTTACGCAGCGTCAGCTCTCAAAAGGAAAAAAATCACTGATTTGAAACATTCTTCATTGGTGCTCCGCTCCTAGTGGTCTTAGCGTGATGATATATAGCCTAAAGCCTTCAGGGATTAACGGACTATCCAACACAAAAAGAATTTTTCAAATTGGTCCAGTAGTTCCTGAGATTAGCGCGTTCAACCAAATAAACAAACTGTGATTAATAAATTGCGCCACTACAAACCGTACCAACAGATGGCGCTGTTACGATCTTACTATGGCAAACTCCACCGCGCATACAATCCTGCATCGCGGTGACGAAGTTTTTTACCCTGCCCAGTATATATAGACAAACCAAAATTGTGTAAAATAAATGCTATAACTCCTTATGGTGGTTGAGCGTCATATTCCACAGCTTCAGCTTTATAATATTAGTATAGATTCGTAAGTAAAAGTTAAACTAAATAGAAAAATGGAACTAGAAAAACTAAGCATCTATCGTTCAGAGTTGTTTGTTAAAGTTATATGAAGTGTAATAATAGTCTACTCCCTTAATTTATTTAAGGGTAAATCATGAAAATTACCCTTTGTGTTTCTCCATCAACAGTCCATATTATACTGGGAGCTGGTAGTCCACTGGAGGTGCAGTTCAACGTCACTCGGCCGGATTCTGACGTCACCGCTTTCATCTCAGCATTGCTGGGTGGAACTGAAATTATTTTCAGTATTATTGGCATAGACGTTTACTTGAACTCATCTTCTTTTATAAGCGAGTCCATGCACAATACATTTTTGCACCACCGCGTTGACAGCGCTTGAAAAAAATGCGGTTTCACAAAATTAAATGCCATCTATTGTAGGGATGTTACGGATAATTATGTAGTTTCGGTTATGGATACGGTTACGGATATAGAAATAATATTATACCGGTTTCGGTCACGGTTACGAATATTTATTTATTTCGGATATCCGAAAGTTTCGGTTACGGTGTACGTACAGATATCTGTGCTTTAGAATGCAATTTGCAATAGTTGTTCAACACGGTTCATTCATGGCCGCACACGAATTTAAAGTAATAAAAAAATAAAAATTGATGCTAGATGGAATTATAAAGGTAAATCAGGCTGTTATTATGCATTTACATAGAATGCTATACAAAAAACAATTTAAACTGACTACATCCGAAACTATCCGAAAATTTTGAATCGGTTACGGTTTCGGATATTTTTTTATTTCGGATATCTGAAAGTTTCGGTTACGGTTACGGATATCCATAACATCCCTGATCTACAGATTTAGCGCTTGACTCAGTCAGTGTCTGTTCTCGTTTGTTCGCGTCAAACGTCTGCGAGACTTCAGATAATGCTTCAGATTATATGCTGTCACGTCATAATATATGTCAATGTTATGTACCCCTTCCGTGACGCTCTCATACCTCAGACACTGGCTGAGTTAAGACCTATGGTTGTTAAAATACTCACTTAACGCTTCAACAACAATTTCTTGGTTTGCCATCCTAAAATATGGTCTCTCCCCTGAAACTTCGCAGCCGAAAGAGAAATCTTTCTTCGGAGGGACTTGGGGTTCTATAGACAGGACACATTTGCCCTTGATACCGCTGTCGACCGCCTCCACGCAGTCCACCTTTATGATGGATTCCGCTAGGTCCCAAGTTTGAGTCTTTCGGAGGTTCCCGTACTCATTCTGTAATATTAAAATTTTAAATGTAGAGCAAAAAAATGGAGTGTTATCAAAGTTCACTGAGAGGTGATGGCATTATACGTCATTTATCTTGAAGAATGAAAGATTTTTTTATGTGACAGGAGGCAAACGAGCAGACGGATCACCTGATGGTAAGTGATTACCGTCGCCCATAGACACTCGCAGTCCCAGGGCCGTTATAGGTGCGTTGCCGGCCTTTAAGGTGAAGATACGCTCTCTTTTTGAAAGCTTGCAGGTCGTATTGGTCCGGAAACGTTAGTTAGTAAAATGAATAAAACCACTACAGTTTTTAGACAGATTAATAAGTGAAACTTAGGCGGGCTGGGTGAACAATTGAGGCTAGGCGCAGACCACCGACTTTGTCGGCCGATAGTTGGGTCGGGCTGTTAATCAGTATGGAAGTACGCACAACGGTATCGGCTGATTCTTCATACAAATTAGAATCAGGCCCAACTATCGACCGACTAAAAGTCCAGTCTGCGGAGTGTCTATAGTTATAGAACGATAGAACCAGTGGACTGACTGTGAGTTTACATCAAACGCGCTCACTGTTTAAAAAATGTATGAAAATTTTAGTTTTTGAACGTTTCCCGCTAGGGGCGCTGTACAATCCGTCATACATTTAATGTCATTTTTTGACGTGCTCACTAGTGAGCGCGTTTGATGAAAACTAACACTAGGCCCTCTGTAGGATGAATAGCTAAATAGGTAGGCAATAAAACGTGTTTACGGTTGTATTTTAATTAAATTTCCTGAAAACTCGTTAGGCCTGTAAGTTTAATGGGTTTGTTCTTTCGCAAGGACGACACACGTAACGGGAACTGGAATTGTGTCATGTTTGGTAATTAGCTTATTAACTCGACTAGAACACTCATTTACGCCATCCGTTCCCAAATACAAGGGCAATTGGGTTTATTTTTACATAAAAACATATCATGCCGATCAGATATTATATTATTTCATATCAGTGAGTAAATAATACATATGTGCCAATAGTATAAATTTTACCAAGATTTTTTCAATGTAAGTAGCTAAGGAAGAGCTTTCTCTGACACATGTGCTTATGTACCTGCTTAATTAATAATAACATAACGGGACTGTTCTCTCCTCTCGATCCCACCGCTGCAACTCCTGTGTAGCCAGGATCTACAGCTTTACAGTCAATTAAGTAACTAATTAACTTAAGTCTACACCTAATTTGTAAACCTATAGTTTGAATAGGACCATTTGGGTAAAAATAAAATTGAAGGTGAATGACAAACAATCTTTTAAAAACTCCCAACAAACTCCCTGTAAAAAACCTTTCTGTCATTTCAGCCATCCACTGCTGAACATAGGCCTCTTTCAATCATTATTTTTATATCGTAGTTGGTCTGGTCTTCCTAATTTAAATAAATAAAATGTTGAATGTAAATCTCCTTACATAAGGTCTGAATATGAAGAACTGCTGCTTATTCTTGCTCAAGTTGACGGACTGTAGAGTGTCGTTCATGTACAGGTTCCAGGAACAGGTCACCTCCCACCCGAAGTCTGGCTTCCATTGCTGTGTGATGTCTACTTTCGTGGCTTTGACTAGGGCTGAAATAAAGTACAAATTAATGATCGATTCACATCTGTGAAGCGATTTAGTTTCAACAGTCACAGTTCCGTCAACGTGTTCGCTCAGTTCAGTTACGAACCGGCAATCAAGGACGTGTAGATCGTTTCATCCACGAAGACGCGCTCCACCATCCTTCCGCTAATGTTTGAGTGTTATCGGTACACGCTAAATTTTATTATCCATGAGTGCACGCTCGGATTGCTCGGATCAAACTCCCCGCACCTCGTGCTTCCCTCGACCTAAAATTGGTGGGGCGCGTCTTCGTGGATGAAACGATCTGTATCACTGAAGTCTCTGATACTCAACTGAGCGAACACGGTGATGGAAAAAAGCTTCATTCATTATGTGGTATTATAACCATCTAAGGTAAACCAAAAGATACGGATACGAATTATGGCTTAGGTATAGAAAAGGTTTCCGATTTTTACGTCGATGAGAATGAAAAACAAGTGCTTTTAATCATACGGAAACTTGCATTGAGTTATCTTTTTGCTTTATGAAGGAAATACTAAAAAACTTATTTATAAAAAACTAGTCCAAAGCATAGAATGAACAAAAAGAGTGCAAGCCTGCAAAATGTATGGTAGGTATGTAATCATGATTAGGTGCTTGAAAATCTTATTACACTTAGATTGAGATCTCCTATTCATAAAAACTAACTGAAATCTAAGCACTAGTGCACACGAGTAAGTAAACACAATCCACATGAGTGGATTAAACAATTCATTATGTAAATGGGTCGACATTTTCCGCCCAAACGGATGTTGGTCACGCAGGCTGGGCGGAATATACTTAATGCAAATGATCGAGACGTTTGCGCGGTGCTCTAATATAATGTGCAGGAAATAGGCTGTGTGTGGTCTGGTGAGGTAATAATAATAATTCCATCATCGGGGAACCAGACGCAGGTTAGCGTACCATCCCTATATTGTTAACATTCCACCAGCTCGCACTAAGCGTTTCGATGACTTTTATAATGCGAACAGCTAGGGACTGGAATTCGCTGCCTGCTGCTGTCTATCTCGAAGACTATAAGTAATCCGGGTCTTTTCAAGGCGAGAGTGAATAGGCACTTACAGGGCAGATATTATGTACCATCCTAGACTGCATCCCACTTAACATCAGGTGCGATTGTGGTCAAATACCTGCCTTGTTGTACATAAAAAACCTATATTATTCTGAAACGATCACAAGGTCTGATTTAAGACCTTGTAAACTGTTTTCTAAGGCACCTTACCCATCTTCGTAGCTTTATTAGTAACTTCATAAGCAAGTTTTTATTACTAAGGTGTTAGGTAAATGGGTATATGAGCCGACACTAGCCCATGTTAACATGGTCATATAAATGGTATGGTGAAGTCAGAAATTTGATGATATCAAATTTTTAATTTTTTAAATTTTCATACAAAATAAATTTTATAAAATCCGATTTGTATGAAAATTAAAATAATTAAAATGAAGATATCATTTTTTTGACTTCACCATACCATTTATATGACCATGTTAACATGGGCTAGTGTCGGCTCATATACCCATTTACCTAACACCCTGTATACATTGAGATGGCGAATTGCAAATTTGCAAACCACAGCATTTATTTAGTTTTAGTTTATGTAAGTACTAAAAAACTCATTTATTTTTGCAAATAGGCTTTTAAGAAGCACTTTACACGTCCCAGTATTAACCCTACCACTGCTTCGGCCAGTGCTGAGAAGAAGCAGCGCAAAAAACTCAGTCACTATTGTCAGCCTCTTTTTCAAGGGTTAAGTCTGGTAGTCTGGTCAAAATTTAAGTAATGTGTGTATCATTTTGGCTAAAGTCTTACCCTAAATCAATCAATTACTGTGCTAAAAACGTCTGCATACTTACTTAGTATTACTTACTCCCTAAAGATTTTGTAAACTGCCCATTAGAAAATTACCTACTGAAAAACATTCTAGTTTTGTTCTAATTTCGTTTGATTCCCAAGCTGCCAATACTCAATTTCAGGGCATGCCACATTTATTACTCAATTTCAATATACTTAGGACTAAAGTAGGACCTTTAGTGGGAAAACTCGAATACTTTTGTAAAATTTGAAATATACTCAGAAGTAGAACGTCCAACCTTTAATTTACTTAAATTCATTGGCATTTATCGTTGAAGATGATTTTCAAATAAGTATCTGTAAACATATTTAATTCCTATTTCCTTCAAAAGAGTGCTATTAATTTTAGTTTTGAAAAATGCCACTAGATAAGCAAATAACGTAAAACTCGTCTATGTTACTCAAACTTAAAAACATGGCCTAGCATTTCAGTTGAATAACACTAAAAGCACTCATTATTTCAATTATTATCCACTGGTTACCACGGTACTAAAGCTAATATAAACTCAAGCAACCATTTCATAGTTCACGCATTCCCCCAGCCGTTTTACATTTTTTAAATTAGCCAAATTAAACGCTCGTATTAGTTGACTACTCCAGGCGGATCACTTGACTTAGGGCAATGGGCGGTGTATGAGGGTACTGTTTATGCTATGATAGAACGTTATTAAACAAGTGACATGTATAATTGTAGTGTTTGTTATTTTTATTTTTCATTTGTTTTATCTTGAAACATTTATAACTTCAGTATCAAAGTTTAGACTATAAGATAACACACACACTGTGAACACTGTGGTTTTGTTTGTAGTTGTTGCGATTTTGCAATTAAAAAATGTACCTACAGTTTGATACTGTTGATACATTAAAATTCCGCTTCACATATACGACATTTTAGTTATCGTGCAATTAATAGTTGAAGAGTGCAACAAAAACAAGCTGATTATTAAAAATGAAATTATTCTTACTTTTTTATTACCTTTTTTAGACAGGTTCACCAAAGTAAAATCATTTTGTCATTGTCATATTTACTGTTCAATTGAAGTTCATTGCTCTCTCTCTAGCCGTTCGGGTTTCTTATAAAAAATATTTTGTATTGTATCATTTTGCCAACTCGATGTGCCCAAAAAAGTGTTCCCTACCTATACCATCTATGAGCTCTATGACTTAAGTCCCGGCTTAATTTGCTCAATTGGTCGGCAGCGCTCCTTAACACTTTAATATGGCGTATTTAGGGCGTCATGTCATTCGTATCTCCTTCATGAATACGCGGAAACTGTTTAGGAACCGGATAATCTTGAGTATGGTGACACATTGTTTATGTTCACCAAATACCATAAGTTTGAGTTACGGGCGAATGAGAGACGTTACATTCCTTGCGCTTTTAAAGTCGAAATATTCTTTATTCGTATTGATCAGGGGTGGCCAAATTTTTGCTCCGTGAGGTCTACTTATGCTCGAAAATATTTGTTGCGGTCGACTGCAAAGCACGGTTTAGAGGATGATATAAAACATTTTTCATTTTCAATCATTCTGTTCAGTTTATTTAGCGGGCTACCAAAATCGTCTTCGCGGTCGACCGATAGACCGCGGTCGACCTCTTGGCCATCACTGGTATAGATAATACTATTAATATATTGTAAATTTTTTAAAGAAAACAAAACCAAGGAGTTGCTTTAATCTTTGCCAGCGTTTTGCGACCAAGATTTAGTAAGTAGGTAAGTGTTAGCGTTAGTTAGTTAGTGTTAGGTATCGGAACAAACTCAGTCATCTCTGTCTGCTGGGTGAAATAAATAAAGTAACAATCGTAGGTAACGTTATTCCTACTATTTAAATTTTCTAGTGTTAAGAGTCGCATCTCAAGCTTTTGAAACGTTCAGGAACAGTTCTCTGAATTTATAACGATGATAAAAACCCTCATCTCTCTTATTTAAGAAAAAGTTGAGTACTAATTATGAGCACATATTTACATGATGTACCATTCGTGTTTATATTTCGTTATACTCTTAAAAATGCCCAGTGAAATACTTTTCCGAGAAAGTAAAACAAAAGTTGTTCGCGTATCGCATTTCATACATTTTTCGAGCTGAGTTTTGTGCCGTTTTGACTGAGTCTGTATAATTTTAATTGGGTCGTCCAAAGAGGGTTGGGTACGGGTTGTGACGTGTTGACATATTTTTTTCTTTGGGACATGTAGTATCACTAACATATACTATAGCAGGGGTGGCCAACTTGATTAGACATAAGATCTACTGTTTAGTAACGAAACCCTGGGCATTTACCACTTACATCTTGAAATCTTAAATGAAACAGCATAGTTTAGTACACAATCATGTAGTTTTTTTTATCTTGCCACGATCGACTGGACTAATAGTCGCGATCGACCGGTTGGCCACCCCTGGACTATAGGGACATAATATACGAGCGTACATCAAGCTGAGCCTAGGCGCAGACCACCGACATTTAGTTGGCCGATAGTTGGGCCCGATTCTAATTTATATCAATCGGTGTAATATGCGCACTTTCATACATCTCCATACTGATTAACAGCCGGACCCAACTATCGGCTGACAAAAAGTCTGTTGTCTGCGGCTTTTCTAAAATATGTATCTTATGTATTAGGCGCATAAAATGTAGAGTCTGATTTGCTACCAAATTAAAATACTACGCATATTTCAAATGTGATATCAAAATTCTTTGCATGGCCCATTCCCATTTTATTTGGGGTCGGCCCTCCGCGTCATGCGTCTCCAGGCGGCTGGGTCCTGGGTTGTCTTACTGTTAACTTGTGCTTTTTTAAGGTCGTTATTGATTACGGATATCCATCCATGTAATTCGGGGTCATAATGATATCACAATAGTGTCTTTAAAACAGAAATTATCACTTGCACGTTTTGTAAACATAGTTAACAAGCCAATAAAAATATAATAGGTATTGAAAAACATTTAGCTTTGTCTACAGATTGAACTGTAGGCAAAACCAGCAGAATTAACAGTTCCTGATTATAGGCAATGAGGCATTAAAGACAAACAAAAAACCATCATCTATCACCGTTTTATGCATTTTAATAATAGCGGCAAACGAATGTGCATTTAATGTGTAACATCAGCCGGCATTACAGAGTCATAAAGCTGGTTATGGACATCCACTGTAATTGATTTTAATTGAGCATTATTACAACAACTGCCCTTGCGTGCTTTCTTATGAGAAAAAACATACAGTGAGCAACTGGTGCATTGCATACTGGAGGGTAAGACCAAATTGCTTAATCAATTTCGCGAAGATGTAATTTGACCTTTGTTGGGAAAGAAAACGGTTACTTTTTTATTGCCTTGCATTACATATTAGTATTCGCCCCTGTTAATTGTTTGTACTTATGCATGTGTAATTTTTTTAAATCCACAACGAGGAAGCTCTTGGCCTGTATCTCACCTGATGGTAAGTGACGATTAGACCGAAGGTGGAAGCGAGCTTCTCCCGGAATCCTCAACCACGGAGGAACTGGCTATCTTACCTCTAACTGCCGGAACACAACAATGCTGTTAACATTGTTGTTATGGCGACAGACTTAGGTAAGATGGTGGTAGGCAGCCAGGCAGACTTAGAACAAGCCCTACCACCAACCAAACCGAAAAGAAACCTCTGCGTCTGAAGCAGGTGGTCTTACCACTAGACCACAGAGGCGGTTAAAATAGACAAATAGAAATTCCTTATTTTACACCACATAAAACGTGCAAAAAAGGAATACAAAATCGAAAAGGTACAATTTATGCGGTCTTATTGTAGGTAGGTACTAGGATACGTATTATACGTTGGCTAGGTATACGTTGTAAGGTGTTAACATTTGAAATGTCCGGTTTTAGCCACTGAAAACATCTCACACTATTTACTGCCCATTACATAGCCACGGTTAAACATAAACGTTGTTCAGTGCATTTGTAAATGATCTCTCTATTGAAAATGTACGGTTATAACACAAAATTAAAAAGCTTTTCGCTATATTTACAACATTTTGTACATAATTCTTTGCTTTTGGAGCCGATATATTCCATTATGCATGTCTACATGACGAATTAACAAGTGGTTTTAAAGATAAATAGATTGTGCTTTAATGTGAGAGCTTTAATGCGTATTAAACGAGTACGTTTTTGTCCACAGAGCTTTATCGAAAGTGTTGTCCAATAAAGCAATTAATGATCCATCAATTTGGGATAATTGTATGAAATCAGGCGGTTGAGGAGAGCTTTCATGATGATAAATCATTTTGTTATTACTTATTAGTAATATTGAGTAGAGTTAATATACATTTATTAACGATAATGTCAGTTATTATTAATAAGTATGTAGGTACTTAATTTAATTAAAAGAGCCGCATTGCTATAAATACCTTTTATAGCTTGTACTATCAAAAACATTAGGTAAATGTTTATAATATTATGAAAGTAGATGAAAAAATCGTAAAAGGATATCTCACTTTAAGGGTTGTGTTACGAATTAACAGTATGTTAATGGCCGCTAAGGTAATTAATGTAGATTTTTGATACAAGAAAACTTATGTACCTAATTAACTTTATCGATATAAAAAACAGGACAAACATTATAAGTTAATTGATATTGTATAAATCAAAAAAACAAAACGGACACACATTTCAAAGCTCTGTTAAATATTTGATATTGTAATCAAAACAATAAGTTAATTAAAACTCACCCAATAAAAAGCACAGAATTGTAATTGTAACAATAGATATTTTGTTCGCGTCCGACGCCATTATACACTCCACGGTCAGTAAACTAGCGATTGTTCAAACAATAATGTCTGTCTGTCACCGTTGTTTAAGAGACACTGGATCAAGCAGCGCCCGCGCACTCCCTGAATTGATGAAACGGTATAGTCCACACGCGGTATAAGAGTGCGCGAGAGTGAGATAAGACAAATACTTAGTTACTTAATAAGTTAAAAAAATCTCTACCTAAAATATAAATTTTCTTCTTTTCCTCTATGGCTAGTGTTTCCACGTTTGCGCCTAAATCTTATGTAAGTAATAGGCTGGGTTTCACCATCTTACTTTAACATTGACAAATGTCAAAAATCTGTCAAACTCCATACAAAAACACCGGTTAACGTTAAAGTTAGGCGGTGCAACTTAGCGTTGGCCGTTTCGAAATTTTGATTATTGATTTGTTAAAAATACCTATTTGAAAAATCAGCTCACATCATAGCTTTAGTAAAATAAATGAATATGTAAACGTGACAAAATGAAATTAAAATTAATAAAATTACACCAAATCTACATTTAATTTAAATAAAAAACGAACGCTTGTTTACCCTTCATATTTTTCTGTCCCAAACTACAGCATGTTCACAACACGACACACAGTTATAAATATTACTTAATCAGAACAATAGTCTCAAAACCACAAGCTCACAGCACAATCGGGAATAATTCACAATAATCATTAATTAACACAATCAAGGCAGCTCGAAAATATGACGTCGCCGCTGCATGATTCTGCATAAATGATCAATCGATGACTCATTTGGATCTGGGCTTGAAATTTCAATTTCCATCCGAGTATTCTGATCTCCCATTCCCTACATTTAGAATGGGGTGGTAGCTCAGGTGAATTTTGCTGTGAATGCTTTTAAAATAATGGCCGTAAGGGGTCATCCATAAAGTACGTCACACGTAAAGAGGGGGGGAGGGGGTTGACAAAGTGTGACATGGTGTGACAAGGGGTGGGAGGGGTCCTAAGTTTCGTGACATCACATTTCAATTGTTTAAATATTTGATAGAATGTTGATTTCATTAAAAAAAGTACTTAATTTAAATGGAAATAAAACTAATTTCGGAACTGCTGTTAATTTAATAATTTTTCGATGGGAAATTGCAAAACATGGGCGTCNAAGTTTCGTGACATCACATTTCAATTGTTTAAATATTTGATAGAATGTTGATTTCATTAAAAAAAGTACTTAATTTAAATGGAAATAAAACTAATTTCGGAACTGCTGTTAATTTAATAATTTTTCGATGTGAAATTGCAAAACATGTGACGTCACACTAGGGAGGGGGGGGGTCTCAGAAATGTGACCACCTGTGACAAGGACGGAGGGGGGGTAAAAAAATCATGAAATTCGTGTGACGTACTTTATGGATGGCCCCTAATAGCCCGCGCATTAATTGAGTGAACGCACTGTAATCAAGTCGCGCTTAGTACAGGATTTTAGTTTAATTGTTACTGTTCACGCTACACAAAACGCCGGTTTTTAGATGACGCCTAATAATGATAGGGTGACGTTATTAATTGTAAGCTTGTAGTTATTTATTGGTTTGCTTTCGGTTTTATACATTTTTAATGGTCTATCGGCGTGCACAGGGTTGTTTTGACCATAGTTGGGTTTCGTTACAAGCAGATTTTAAAATGTAAAGCAACTACACCTAACTGTGCTTTATTTACGTTGAACAAAATGTAACAATTGACTATGAATATTAGCGTAATATGGGTAAATGGCTCTAATTGCACGTGAGATCAACGTCGAAATATGCAATTCAAAGCTATTTTATACAAAGATAGGATATTCAGTATGATTTTTAAGGATTTAAAAATCAATGTGGTTCAATCAATAAAGTTGTGGTGAGTACGCGAAACCTTCTCGTTTATAAAAAAGAACCTGTATTTTTATCTACTGATATTTTAATTTAAACATTTCCACAAACATGACACTAATTTCACTTACAACAAGTTTATGTACAAACCTATGTACAAACCTTTGTACAAGTAAGTCTGTATTTTCAGTCAATGTCAATATTTAGTGTCTGGCCTTTAAGACCGTGACTGGGGCCCAGATTAGAGCCTTGTAGAGTCTTATCCCAGTAAAAGATGTGATAAACTCGTATTGATAAATAAAAGAAGAGCTATACAGTAATAAACACGTCTGGAGAGGAATTGCAGTTGGCTAGCTACAAAAATGAAAATAGAAAACTGAACTGCAGATAAATAATACTAAGCTTCCTTAAATTCTATAAAGTAAGTAAAATTAATAGTGTTTTTAATCCACAGGGAATAATTGACTCTAGTGTTAAACCAGACTGAGAAAAACTCTATCGATTAAAACAAGTTATGTGTTAAATTGATTGATAGAGAATAATATTGATATTTCAACTAAAATAGTAAGACACGGGTCTTAACGCGACGTTTATTAAGAAGTTACATTATGTACTCACGGCTTGACACGTCGTCTTACTATTTTAGTTGAAATGGAACGCGAAAGTTTAAAATCTTATATTGATATTTCTCCAATAGTTTAAAGACTTAAGTTTAAAGATAAATAATTCAATAACAAAGTATTTGAAAAAGACATCTTAGATATTAATTTATTTATGAAGTTTGTTCCAGGTAAGCATAGCAGGTGAGCAATCATAGAAACTTACTTGTGCGAGCGCGAACTCTCTTGTAAGTAACTTCTATATTTATTTAATTTTATGAGACATTTAAACGATATTTAATTATTGACAAGATAAAACATTACAATTCTATAAAAAAATAAACAAAGCACACAAATAGTGTTAAGAAAATTTATAAAAAGCGCACAAGTCTCCCGATAAAGAAACAATTGAAAATCGATATTGGTAAAATAAAAATTCTTAGTGGCCAGGTGCTTGGGCAGCCACATAAAAAAGGATGCTTGTATCTTTATTTATTTATTCATTCATTTATTCATTTGCATTAACATATTTAGCACATAAAGATATACATGCATTCATACATTGACCCTGTGAGGGTGTAGCAAAGTCACAATCATTTAATACTTAGTTAACGTCTAACATTAACAATAGACGATTAAATAAGGACAACAAGGATTTTTATTTGACATAGGTAGCATGTATTATTATTTCCTACATAATATTATTATTTCATACATAGTATTATTATTTCCTACATAAATTAGCATAGTTTCACGATGTTAAAAAAATGTAAAATATGCTTACACAACAAAAGTGACCACCGAACACTTTAATTATGAGGAACAAAAGGTTGTGTAAATCAAACAAATAATTCTGTAGTGAGCTAGTCTTGGTTTGGTTACTTAGTTCACCAGTCACTTTTTTGTGTAAGCTGTAACCAAAAATTTTTTTCAGTGTACTTATCACTATACAATGTATTTATGAACGAGACATTATCGTCATTTACTATACAAAAATGTGATATTTTCAATTTAAAGTTATAATGTACCATGTGTGTATCTAACGACAAAGTCGAACTCTACATTTCAATAACATTCCAGTTCCATTTCAAATCTAATAACCAATAACTAAATCGGAATCGGAGCCCAGCTAAACTGTACTTAAATAAAACCATTCGAAATTGAATCGAAGAAACAAAGTATCGGAAATATTGTGATTCGATTCAGGCGCAGAGAGAATTGAAATTTTTAACCGGGGTGATTAGCCGCGTGGAAAATTACCCTCAGTCGGGTAAATACACAGTGGAAAGCCAGGTCGGTAGGCCTGAATATGTAAATGAAAAATCTTGTATACCTAAATAGTATCCCAGGGGAAGGATAAGCTATTTGGACCCGCATTGAAATTAATCTGACGATTAAAAAAAATTAAACCGACTTCAAATGCGTGAACACAAATAATACCTATTCAACAAAAAAATAATCGTTCAAATTGGTTCATAATTGGCGGAGATATTGCGTATAAAAAAGTTCATCCCCAATTTTCCACCCTTGGGGGTTGTTTTTTTTATTATTAAATTTAAATGGGACCACCCTTGAGGTATTACCTATACGCCGAAAAAAGATTTGTTCAAATCGGTTCATAATTGGCGGAGTTATCGCGTAACAAACATAGAAAAAAAAACATACGGGTCGAATTGAGAACCTCCTTCTTTTTTTGAAGTCGGTTGAAAATAGGAAGAGTTCCAAGTAAGGCTTCTCAGTAATCAAATTAATTATAGTATAGTCCATCTGAATCGATTTTATAGACGAAGGTCTATCAAGTAGCTCAGTTGGAAGAGCAGTCGCCCGGCAAGCGGAAGGTCGTGGGTTCAATTCCCGCTTTAGGAAGTTCGACTTTTTTCAAGTTATTTACTATAATATTCAAAGAAGGTCTATCAAGCTAAACACTGTGTAATAGGTATCGTATATTATTTAGTCTGATATAATGACGTGAAGTGACGCGATCGCCAATTTTGTTAACTACACTGTGAAAATATCTTATGTAGTTAATACAAGTTGTTATCGGTAATAGGTGTGATTTTGCAACAAAAATATACAGTGTGTGTGTACTTAAGGGATTTAAGACAATCAAAATTAACCTGGACCTTCTGTTTCCTCCTATTTTATGACAAATATAGAACGGAACGGTTTCTGATATGGGCCACGTTGATGAACTAGAAACTTATCTTTTGTAGCATAGTTAGAATTTAGTTTTAGTTTGATTGTTTTTTTCACAGTTTACTGAATTCGAATCTGGGACATTTTTTGCAGTTTAGTTAATTATTTTTATTCATCTGTGCAACCTTTACTACGCATGGTAAAAAGTTTGTGTATTTTCTCTACGATTGCTACGATACGTGACGCGTTACGCAAATATCGACTACGAAAAAATATCTTGCTACGGTATTTTCTACGAGAAAACGTCGTAGCCGTTTTATTTAAGCTTAACCCTGCCGTAGTCGATCGACTAGTTTTATTTATAAGCTTTTAATAAGTAAGTGCTATTGTAATGCACTTGCAATTGAAACGAAACTATTGGGGTACTCCAATTGCAGGGCAGTGATTTAGATTACGATTGTAATGATATCATTCCTTAAGTTTTGTTGAAGTCTTGTAAACTGTTAACAATGTAGGTTATGTAGG